TCAGCTTAGTATACCTTAAGTAAGTATTTCAACAGTTTGCTCCACACAGAAACATAAAGTGAAAAATAATAGATGATTTTTTAAATGATGATGAAATCAGATCAGACCTATTGTCATGTTTAATCCCAGTGAGAGTCAAGTTGGGAATTGAAAATTTCTTTCTTTTTTTTTTTTTTTTTACAGAAGATCAGTTTAGTGTACATTAAGTAAAGATTTCAGTCGTTTGCACCCCCATAGAAACACAAAGTGTACAACACGTTAAGGACCGAGATCCTACATGAGGAGTAAGTGCACAGTGACTCCTGTTGTTGACTTTACCAATTGACACTCCTGTTTATGGCATCAGTAATCTCCCTATGCACCAGTTATGAGTTTCCAAGGCTATGGAAGCCCCTTGAGTTCTCCGACTCTTATCTTGTTTAGACACGGTCATAGTCAAAGTGGAGGTTCTCTCCTCCCTTCAGAGAAAGGCACCTCCCTCTTTGAAGACCTGTTCTTTGCACTGGGATCTCACTCACAGAGATCTTTTTGCCAGAGTGTCTTGGCTTTCCATGCCTGAAATACTCTCATGGGCTTTTCAGCCAGATCCGAGTGCCTTTAGGGCTGATTCTGAGGCCAGAGTGCTATTTAGGACATCCGCCATTCTATGAGTCTGCTGAGTATCTCACTTCCCATGTTGGATCACTCTCCCCTTTATTTATTCTATCGGTTGGTGTTAGCAGATACTAGACTTGTTTATGTGCTCCCTTTGACTCTTAGTCCTTTCATTATGATCAATTGTGAACTGAAATTGATCACTTGGAGTAGTGAGATGGCATTGGCACATGCCACCTTGATGGGATTGAATTGGAATCCCCTGGTATGTTTCCAACTCTACCAATTGGGGCAAGTCAGCCCGAGCATGTCCCAAATTATACATCTCTTCCCTCTCTTATTCCCACTCTTATGTTTAACAGGGATCACATTTCGGTTAATTTTCAACACTTAAGAATAACTGTGTGATAATTACAGAATTAAACCAGTCATATTAAGTAGAACAGACAAAAAAAAATACTATGAGGGATAATGTATTAAGTTGTCCATTAGCAGTCAGAGCTATGCTGATCAAGTCACCATTTCTCATAGTGTCCATTTCACTTCAGGAGGTTTCCTTTTTGGTGTTGAACAGAGCTTGACTTTGATAGAATGGGTAAGGGATAGTCAGATCTGGCCAGTCTGAGACTGTCCTGGGCTCCGCATTGAGAGGCAGGATGGAATGCAGGAAAAAGAACTGACCATGTTTATCCTGAAGAGAGGTGCCCGGGAAGTGTGGTCACTGTCCCTGAAGAACCAGCCTGGAGACAGCAAGAACGTTTGTGGAGTGTGTTTCCACGCCTTTGACATGGGTTAGCTGGAAATCCTCAGACAACCCACTGAGGTTCACATGATTATCATTCTGGTAGCTGCGTTGCATGCTGGGTCGCATGCTGAGAAACAGCAGGGAAGGGTGCAAGCCCAGCAGTCTGCCTCTGGCACTGAAGCCTCCGCCCACGTGCTGCGGTGGCTCCCGCGGAGGGGCCGGGTTTGTTCTCAGCGGCCCTGTGAAAGTGCAGGCAAACTCGGGTCAGCTGGCTGCAGGCTTCTTTGCTGAGAGCCCACAGGTAGGAGGGACTCCTTTCTCCATCAGCAGAGCTTCCTGCAGCCTTGTCCCCTCTGCCTAAAACCAGGCAGAAGGAACCAGCAGACAGCTGGCCTTCCCGGCTCTGTGTAGCCTCTGAGACTCGAGTGTGAGCTGTGGAAGCCCCGGCTTCTCTCTCTTTACAAGTCACTTTTTCCCGTTTGCATAACAGAAGTACTGTGCTTTCTGGAGAACACCTAATTTATTAGCTTTGTGCATCTTGGTTTATATATATATATATATTTTTTTAAGTATTTATTTTATTTATTTGAAAGACAGAGTTACAGAGAGAGGTAGAGACAGAGAGAGGTCTTCGTCCACTGGTTCACTCCCCAGATGGCCACAATGGCTGGAGCTGCACTGATCCAGAGCCAGGAGCCAGGAGCTTCTTCCGGGTCTCCCACGTGGGTGCAGGGGCCCAAGCACTTGGGCCATCTTCCACTGCTATCCCAGGCCACAGCAGATAGCTGGATGGGAAGAGGAGCAGCCGGGACTAGAACCGGTACGCCAGCACTTCAGGCCAGAGTTTTAACCCGCTGCACCACAGCGCCGGCCCCCATTTTGGTTTATTTTATTTTATGGCACATTTCCAGTAATAATTTCTCAAACAAAAGCCATAGTGTCATCAGCACTTTTTTCTCAGATTTTTTTCTTCCTGATAATCGATCATTTTCATTATGGAAATGCACAGTCTAAGAAGAGAATTAAAAGCTGTTATAATATCTTTATGTCTTTCCTCAGAGGGGCCTGCACTGTGGCACAGTGGGTAAGGCTGCTGCCTGCAGTGCCAGCATCCCATATGGACACAGGTTCGATTCCTGGCTGCTCCACTTCCAATCCAGCTTTCTGCTATGGCTTGGGAAAGCAGTAGAAGTTAGCTCAAGTCCTTGAGCCTTGCCCCCTCCTTGGGAGACCTGGAAGAAGCTCCTGGCTCCTGGTTTTGCATCGGCCTAGCTCTGGCCATCACAGCCATTTGGCAAGTGAACTGGTGGATGGAAGACGACTTTCTCTCTCTGCCTCTGCCTCTCTGTAACTCTACCTTTTGAATAAATAAATCTTTTTTTATTTTTATTTTTTATTTATTTAATTTTTTGACAGGCAGAGTGGACAGTGAGAGAGAAACAGAGAGAAAGGTCTTCCTTTACCGTTGGTTCACCCTCCATTGGCCGCCGCAGCTGGCGCACCACGCTGATCCGATGGCCAGCGCCAGGTGCTTCTCCTGGTCTCCCATGGGGTGCAGGGCCCAAGTACTTGGGCCATCCTCCACTGCACTCCCTGGCCACAGCAGAGAGCTGGCCTGGAAGAGGAGCAACCGGGACAGAATCTGGCGCCCTGACCAGGACTAGAACCCGGTGTGCCAACGCTGCAAGGCGGAGGATTAGCCTAGTGAGCCGTGGCGCCGGCCATAAATAAATCTTTAAAAATATATATATTTTTGCTCAGAGATGATCATGGTATGAAGTATGCCCCTAAGTATTTTTCAGTGGAAAAATGGACATTTGTTTTAGATTTATTATTCACAGGGGAAAAATATTTTATTTTGATCAATTCTAAAAACTTTATTTTATTTTATTTTTTTTTGGCCAGGTGTCTGCCTCAATGCTTAAGCAGTTTCCCAACAGTGGCCTGAATCCAGGTCTTTTCAATGTGGGGCCCCAGTTATCTCCTCAACAAATTGCCATGCTGAGCCAGCTTCCACAAATTCCCCAGTTCCAGTTGGTAAGTAGATTTTCTTGGGATAGCTTAACAGGCAGCCTGGTTTTCCTTTCTCTAGCTTTGATTTCCTTCATCTGTCTTTGTCATCTTTTATGCCTGAAGGGCCACTAGTTCACACTTGGCTGCAAACCCGAGTCTGATTAAAGGTTGATAAGTCAGCTCAACTGGAGGTGAACTAGCCCAGAGAGGAACTTGGTGGGACTTCCCGCGCTGGTCCCTGTAGTTCTGCAGCCCTTGTGTGCACTTTGATGCTCTCGGTGCCGCCGTCTCAGGGAGCTGTGGTCCCTCCCTGCCCTGTTTTGTAGGCATGTCAGCTTCTCCTGCAGCAGCAGCAGCAGCAGCAGTTGCTACAGAACCAGAGAAAGATTTCTCAAGCTGTGCGCCAGCAGCAGGAGCAGCAGGTACGTGTGCCAGACGGGTCCCCCGGTGTCCTGTGTGACAGTGCATCTTGCTGCCCAGCAGACCCTGAGCACTCTGCCCCTCCCCTGACACCGGAAGCTGGGATATTCGCTCACCGCCTGTCCTCTCCTCGCCCCTGCAGCTGGCCCGGATGGTGAGCGCGCTGCAGCAGCAGCAGCAGAGGCAGCCCAGCATGAAGCACTCGCCGTCCCACCCTGTTGGGCCCAAGCCACATCTGGACAACATGGTACCCAACGCACTGAATGTGGGGCTCCCCGACCTTCAAACCAAAGGGCCAATGCCTGGATACGGTTCTGGTGAGTCGCACCTCATGAAACTACCTTTGAGAAACTCTCCGTCTCAGCCCACAGCGGGTAGGAGCCCCACGGCCCTGCCATTTCGCCACAGCTGCACACGGTGGGTGGATGTTCTCAGCCCTGTTTTACAGGCAGGGTGTCCAAGGCTCTTCAGGCTTCCGTGTTCTCCAAAGCTCACCACGCAGTCAGGAAATGATAGAGCCAGGTGTGCAGCGTGGCCGTCTTGGACTCCACGTTTGTGAACAGCGGACTGCTCTTCTACCGTCAGAACTTACTAGAAGCCAGAACTTACTGAATGTGTCGCTCCCCCACTCACGGAGGAACGACACCGGTCCTTCCCGGATTTGCTGACGCTCCCCCGCTTTCGTGGAGGAGCGGCACCAGCGAGCTCTCCGACCCACTCTCTCAGGGGCAACCTGCATGTTGTCTCTCTCTCCCCCTAGTCCTCTCCCACCAATCCGTGCTCTGCTGCCCACGTGCTGAGCACGCCGCTTTCTTCCAAACAGGGGTTGGGTCAGGAATCAGCTAATTAACGAAACAGCTGTGTGAGATTTGTTTACTCTCTCTCAGCACCATATGATGGGAGATCAGATGCATAGAGTTATTTAGTCTTAATAGTCTCAGTGGTCTAGTCTCGGTAGTCTCAGTACTTATTTCGCCATGTTGCGGGAGACAGGCCCTGCTCCCCACAGCTCCCCACAGAATGTTTTTGTTTTATTTTGTTTGTTTAATTTTTGACAGGCAGAGTGGACAGTGAGAGAGAGAGACAGAGAGAAAGGTCTTCCTTTGCCGTTGGTTCACCCTCCAATGGCCGCCACGGCCGGCGCACTGCGCTGATCCGAAGGCAGGAGCCAGGTGCTTCTCCTGGTCTCCCATGGGGTGCAGGGCCCAAGTACTTGGGCCATCCTCCACTGCACTCCCTGGCCACAGCAGAGAGCTGGCCTGGAAGAGGGGCAACCGAGACAGAATCCGGCACCCCGACCGGGACTAGAACCCGGTGTGCCGGCGCCACAGGCAGAGGATTAGCCTAGTGAGCCGCAGCGCCGGCCTGAATGTTTCTGTGTGCTGTGACCTCCACACGGCTGAGGTCACGATCTATTAAAATATGTATAAGCTGTAGTGCTTCACTCCACTGATAAAACTGCCTGAGAAAATATGGAACTAAAATGATAAGGCAGCTTGAAAAAATTCATCTAATAATATTTCATTTGATTTAAATAAAATCAGCACAAGAAAAGTAATACCTTTGCCGCTTGTTGGGAATTTTTTGGCAGGCAAATCATAGCTGTTTTAGACCTAGGAAGCATGCCATGTGCAGAACCCACTCAGTGAGGAACAGGGATTTAAAAACAAAATTTAAAAATTAAGACAATACTACACATTTCAGCAGTGTGACCTCATATTGATGGTGTGATTTTACGTTGGCGAAGAAGATACTATTTTATGCAGACACAAAAAAGCAGAGTATGCAGACCTGAAAACTCTACTTCTGGGTGATGCAGTGACCCTGCGCAAATGGCCCTACCTCAGGTCCCATGATGCCCTCCTGCTGGGTCCCCATGCAGGGAGGAGCAGACTCAAGGCCTCCTCAATCCTAGGTAGTTTAAGGGAATGAATTTTCAGATCCTTAACTTCCACCAGCTCTTCTGGGTTTTGTTTGTTTATTTTTTTAGATTTACTTATTCATTTGAAAGGCAGAGTTACAGAGAAAGAAGAAGAAATAGAGAGACAGAAATTTTCCATGTGCTAGTTCACTCCCCAAATGGCTGCATGGTCAGGGCTGAGCCAGGCTGAAGCCAGGAGCCCAGAACTCCATCTGAATCTATCACATGGTAGCAGGAGCCCAGGCACTTGGGCCCCTTTCGGCTGCCTTCTCAGGGGCGTAGAGAGGAGCAGCCAGGACTTGAGCCAGAGCTCGTGTGGGATGCCAGTATTGCAGGCCGCAGCTCAGCTCTACACTGTTCCATGCGCTGGCCCTGCAAAGAGCATTTTAAAATTTATTTCACACTTGGGGATAGCACTGTGGCATAGCCAGTGAAACTACCATTTGCAGCGCTGGCATCCCATATAGGTGCTGGTTTGAGTCCTGTTTGCTCCACTTCCAATTCAGCTCCCTGTTAATGCCCCTGGGAAAGCAGCGGAGGATGACCAAGTGCTTGGACCCCTGCACCCACATGAGATACCCGAAAGAAGCTCCTGGCTCTTAACTTCGGCCTGGCTCAGCCCTGGCTGTTGTGCCCACTTGGGGAGTGAACCAGCAGCTGAAAGATCTGTCCCTCTCAATAATTCTGATTTTCAAATAAGTAAATAAATCTTTTTTTTTTTAAAGGTCATCTTTTAAAAAAATTATTTCAGGCCGGCGCCGCGGCTCACCAGGCTAATCCTCCGCCTAGCGGCGCCGGCACACCGGGTTCTAGTCCCGGTTGGGGCGCCGGATTCTGTCCCGGTTGCCCCTCTTCCAGGCCAGCTCTCTGCTGTGGCCAGGGAGTGCAGTGGAGGATGGCCCAAGTGCTTGGGCCCTGCACCCCATGGGAGACCAGGAAAAGCACCTGGCTCCTGGCTCCTGCCATCGGATCAGTGTGGTGCGCCGGCCGCAGCGCGCCGGCCGCGGCGGCCATTGGAGGGTGAACCAACGGCAAAGGAAGACCTTTCTCTCTGTCTCTCTCTCTCACTGTCCACTCTGCCTGTCAAAAAAAAAAAAATTATTTCAACTTTCCTTAGTTATTTCCTATTTTCCTTAATTGGCATTAACACTTTTTTTAAAAGATTTATTTTATTTATTTGAAAGAGTTACAGGGAGAGGTAGAGACAGAGAGAGGTCTTCCATCTGCTGGTTCACTCCCCAGTTGGCCGCAATGGCTGGAGCTGTTCCAATCCGAAGCCAGGAGCCAGGAGCTTCTTCTGGGTCTCTACGTGGGTGCAGGGGCCCAAGGACTTGGACCATCTTCTACTGCTATCCCAGGCCATAGCAGAGAGCTGGATCAGAAGTGGAGCAGCCAGGACTAGAACTGGTGCCCGTATGGGGTGCCGGCACTTCAGGCAAGGGCACTAATCCACTGCGCCACAGCGCCAACCCCTAACACATTTATTTTAGCTGAAAAATATAGTTTGGGACAGAAAGTAATTTTACTTGGCTTCTAATTTTGAATAAATTAAATCTGCAGCTGTAATGTTTGATGAAAGTTTTTTAAATAAAAAATTCAGTGTCAAGGATATAATAAAATTAACATTTTCAGTTTTTCTAATCCTGAATATATCAAACTAACAAAGATACCTCTAGGCAAAAGAATACCAAGAGTAATAGTTTCTTTTCTTTTCTTTTCTTTTTTTTTTTTTTTTTTTTTTTTGACAGGCAGAGTTAGTCAGAGAGAGATAGAGAGAAAGGTCTTCCTTTTTCCATTGGTTCACCCCCAAAATGGCCACTACGGCCGGCATACTGCACCGATCCGAAGCCAGGAGCTGGGTGCTTCCTCCTGGTCTCCCATGCGGGTGCAGGGCCCAAGTACTTGGGCCATCTTCCACTGCACTCCCGGGCCACAGCAGAGAGCTGGACTGGAAGAGGAGCAACCGGGACAGAACCAGCGCCCCAACTGGGACTAGAACCCGGGGTGTCAGCACTGCAGGCAGAGGATCAGCCTAGTGAGCCGCGGTGCCAGCCAATAGTTTCTTAATATGTCTTGATAAAGACTCTTTTGTAGACTTCAGTGACTGCTTAACTAATCCTTTACTGCCTTTTATAAGATACATGCTCTGTGATTCTCAGCTTTTAGCAAAATTGAAAATAACTTGTCAGGTAATAATGACCTCTCTAAAAATTACTGTGTTGTTGTGACTGTGTCATTGGGCCAGGGAGAAAGACAAACTCACAAAGAAATGGAGAGATTTCAGTGATGTAATAGCAGGACTCCCCCTGTTCTCCTTACAAGTTTTTGTAAAAGTAAGATTTTGTAATATTTTATGTCTGTAATAATTTTTTAAATAGGAATAGATGAGCTCTTTCATTCTAGTGGTGAGTCTTAATTTTCCATTAATACGTGGACTGATTGGGAAACAATCTTGCTAGAAAATGCACTTCCAATAAAATTTTATTCGCATATTAAAAATTCATCAAAAATTGTAACAGGGCCAGCGCTGTGGCTCAGGAGGCTAATCCTCTGCCTGCGGCACCGGCACCCCGGGTTCTAGTCCCGGTTGGGGCGCCAGTTCTGTCCCGGCCGCTCTTCTTCCGTCCAGCTCTCTGCTGTGGCCCGGGAGTGCAGTGGAGGATGGCCCAGGTCCTTGGGCCCTGCACCCGCATGGGAGACCAGGAGGAAGCACCTAGCTCCTGGCCTCGGATTGACACAGTGTGCCGGCCGCAACACACCAGCCGTAGCGGCCACTTGGGGGTTGAACCAACAAAGGAAGACCTTTCTCTCTGTCTCTCTCCCTGACTAACTCTGCCTGTCAAAAAAAAAAAAAAAAAAAAAAAGAAAGAAAGAAAGAAAGAAAAAACTATTACTCTTGGTGTTCTTTTGCCTAGAGGTATCTTTGTTAGTTTGATATATTCAGGATTAGAAAAACTGAAAGTGTTAATTTCATTACATCCTTGACACTGAATTTTTTATTTAAAAAACTTTCATCAAACATTACAGCTGCAGATTTAATTTATTCAAAATTAGAAGCCAAGTAAAAATTACTTTCTGTCCTTGGTCCTTGGTCCACTCCCAAAGTAGCTGCACTGGCTGGGTTTGAGGCCAGGCCAGGCTGAAGCTAGGAACCTGGAACTCCATCCAGGGCTCCCTTGTGGGTGGTAGGAGCCCAAGTATTTGGCCCATCCATTACTACCTTCCTAGACGTATGCATGGGGAACTGAACCAGAAGCAGAGCAGGCAGGACTTGAACTGGTGCTCATATGGGATGCTGGCGCTGCAGGCTGTGGCTTAGCTGGCGGTACCACGATGCTGGCCCCTAGAGTCCTATGTTATTTTCAAAAGCTTTTTCTGAGTGCTGGAGCTGAGCTTTCAGATGGCCTGGAATCCATGTTCCTTGGCCTGGTTTTCTCTCTCAAAAGCAAAAATGTAATTTTTCCAAGGAGCATCCTGCTTACCCTTTGTTCTTTCACCTCCTTGTCCTCCAGTCCTCATGTTGTTTCTTTTATATAGGACAAAAGAAAAAATATGTTAAACTCTTCTTTTTAAGAAATGATATAAATATTTTCATCTCATTCTAAGGATTCCTGCCTCCCAGCATCCAAGCAACCACTTGAACCATCAAGTTCAGTTGTGGTATGAGGAAACAATTTTCTTTAAAAAAAGAAAAAAAGATTTATTTATTTATTTGAAAGAGTTACACAGAGAAGGAGAGGCAAAGAGAGAATGAAAGAGAGAAAGGTCTTCCATCCACTGGTTCACTCTCCAATTGGCCACAATGGCCAGAGCTGAGCCGATCAGAAGCCAGAAGCCTCTTCCGGCTCTCCCATGTGGGTGCAGGGGCCCAAGCACCTGGGCCATCTTCTACTGCTTTTCCAGGCCATAGCAGAGAGCTGGATCGGAAGTGGAGCAACCAGATCTTGAACCAGTGCCCATATGGGATGTCAGCACTGCTGGTGGTGGCTTTACCCACTACACCACAGCGCCAGCCCCAACAATTTTCTTTATATAAATGGTGAAATTCATTTTTAGAAGTGTTTTCATTTGCTTTTCATTTTATTTGAAAGGCAAGTAAGAGAGAGATCTTCCATCAGCTGATTCACTTCCCAAATGGCTTCAACAACCAGGTGTGGGCCAGACAGAAGCTAGGAACCTGGAACGCCATCCAAGTTTCCCACATGGGTGGCAGGGGCCCGAGCACTGGGGTCATCTTCTGTTGCCCTCCCCAAGTAGGTTAGCTGGGAGCTGGCTCAGAAGTGAAGCAACTGGGACTTGAACTGGTACTCTGATAAGGGATGCCATATTATAATTAGAAGCTTAACCCTCTGCACCACAATGCCAACCCCTGCCAGTTCTCTTTTTTTATACAATGATTTTATTTATTTATTTGAGAGGCAGAGTTACAGACAGAGAGAGGGAGAGACATAGAGAAATGTCTTCCATCTGCTGGTTTATTCCCAAATGACCACAATGGCCAGCGCTGGGCTGATCCAAAGCCAGGAGCCAGGAGCCTCTTCTGCGCCTCCCACACAGGTGCAGGGCCCAAGCACTAGAGCCGTCTTCCACTGCTGTCCCAGGCCATGGCAGAGAGCTGGATCAGAAGAGGAGCAGCTGGGACATGAACCAGCACCCATGTGGGATGCCAGCGCCACAGGCAGAGGCCTAGCCTATTACACCACAGCGCCGGTCCCTTTTTTTTTTTTTTTTTTTTAAGTACAGACCTAGTTCTTTCTCCATCACTTGCTTAAAAATTCCTTTCTCTTCTTAAAGAAAAAAGGTCCCAGTTCCTTGGACTGATAGAGAAAGAGCCTTCTTGACCTGACTCTTCATTTCTCACCATCCCCTGCCACTCTGCATCACTTCATCCACAGTTAGCTAACCTCTGGAGGCACTTGGAACCTCCCACTGCTCCTGAACGCACTCGACTGCCATGAGTCAGAGCTCTGTGCCCAGTTTCCTGGTCCTGAATTGAGTGTCCTTAAAGACTTTCCTCCGCAGGTAGCTTTACCCCAGCCCCGTCTGTGCTCTGCTTCTATCGTGGTTTGATGTGTTGTCTTCTCCATCCCAGTCGGGCAGGTGGCCGGCTCCAGTCCACTGTCTGGCACACGTGCTGCTAAGTGAAAAAGCAGACGCACACGTGCTCTCCGATGACCCTGATTCAGTGGCAGTCGTACACACTTTGCTACATTAGCAAAAAGTCGTCACTTTTGTTTGAGAGACACAGACAGATGAGAAAGGGGGAAAGCTCCCCTCTGCTGGCCAGACCCGGAGCTGGAGACTGAATCTAGGTCTCACACATGAGTAGCAGGAGTCCTAGTAGCGGAGCCACCACCACTGCTTCCAGGTCTGCACTAGCAGGAAGCTCAAGTCAGGAGCCAGGGCCAGGCTCTGAACTCTCGCGCACTCACACGTGGAACATGAGAGGCTCAACCGCGTCTTAAGCAGCAGGTCAGACACCTGTCCCAGGGCCATCACTTCATTGTCAAGCAAGAGCCGAGGTCAGAGATTTGCAGCAGTGTAACTCTGCGTGTGGACAAGTTTTCCAAATTGGTCTTTGAGTGACAGACAAAGTCGTCCATGGGTTGTCCCTGAGAATTCTTGGTGACTGGAACCAGAAATGTATACAGAGGCATAAAACATGGTTCCTTCCTGCAGGCTTCAGCTCTGGCGGCATGGACTATGGCATGGTTGGTGGGAAGGAGGCCGGGACTGAGTCTCGCTTTAAACAGTGGACCTCCATGATGGAAGGACTGCCCTCCGTAGCCACACAGGAAGCCAGCATGCACAAAAACGGTAAGAGCCAGAAATGCAGATAAGCTGGAGCAGGAGCTGCCCTGGCCTGTAGCGGGCCTGGGTAACATCCTCTAATTATCCTGAAGCATGGATCTAGCTTTTTCTCCCCGCCCCCCCAATCTTAGGATCGCCTTTGCTAGGAAGGTTGAGATTGTATTCCAGAGTATAAGAAATTTAAAGCGCTGGTTCTAATGTGGAGACCAAAAGTTCGCGCTGGCTGTGAGGCTGAGAGTGCTGGCACTGAACTTGGGCACCCATCAGGGTAACATTCTAATAAATTGGCCAGGAGAATAGAACTGGCTCTTTCTTTTTTTGAAGAACAGGAGATATATATGAGGAACATACATATGTTGATTATTAGCATCATATTAAGTTCATCAACTTTAAAAAACAATCCCTGTGCTTTAATCTCCAAAAAATGATATGTTATAGTACTTGAGATTTTAACTTTGTCCAAAACTTGCTTGTTCTTTTTGATTTGCCATATCTGCTGTCGCAGGCTTTGGTTGCGAATGTGGTGTGGCTCTTCCTCCCTGTAACTCTGTGTGGGCGTCTCCATTTTCCTATGAAAGAGATTAAAGTTCTCAGAACCTTCTTCCAGCCCTTGTTTCATTTGACAGTAATTCACTTGGACACCACTGTATCCATGAGAACCAAGCATAAAACAGTGTCTGGCTGTTCCGCTGCAGTACTCTGGCAGGCCTCAGCCCAGCCGAGTCGTTGGTGTGAAGCCTTCCAGATTTCGCCACTCTTAATAAACCCATCCAAGAGGCTGGTGCAGGAGCCACGTGGCACCTTCTGTCTGTCACGCATAAGTATTGTCGCTGGATTTTGTGGCCCCAAATCAAGAATGACCTACTAAAGTTATAAAACCTGCCGATGGGCCAGGTGCACTGAGTCCAGTGCCGTCTGTAACCTTGGACATTTTCCCTGCTTCGGCCGTGGTGTCACCAGGTCCTCTTGTCCTGGTGACAGGTCAGGTGCATGATAATGAAGCAGAGGCTGTGCACGACTGTCTCGAAGGTAAAAACAGCCACTTAGGATTTCAGAGCTTATCGATAGTGCTTTCCCCATTGCCTTAGCAATCCCCAAGGAAATCAAATTACTCATTTTCCACTGCTTCACTATTCTGTACCCCTGAGCCAGATTTCTGTCAGTGACTCCAGAAAAGCACATGTCATCTTAGTTGAGTGTGGAGATGGTTTTGATAATAATCCTGGTTAGGCTAAACCAAACTGATTATTTCAATCAGTAGTTACACAAATATTTTAATCTGTTACCCTGGAAACAATTTTCTCTCTTCATAAGCAGCATCCTAAGAGTAGATCAGATGATATGATGCAGTATGTAAAATTAATTTGAGAAACAGTATGTAGAGAGGGATCTCATAGACACACGCAGTTTTAGCTAAAGTCAACCAGTTGTTATTTAAGAGAATTGTAAGCTCTTACTTCTGCCCCTCTGCCTGTAGCAAGTAAAGTGTACAAAAGGGGCACCAGGAAGCCGCTGAAGCACTCTGGGGGCAGTTGGAGGCTGCAGGGCTCCAGCTCACTGCCCCGGAGTTGAAAGCAATCGCAGATGCTTCCCCTCCACTGGACTCCGTTTTCGCTGCTGCCCGCAGCTCATCTGAGGCCTGACCAACGGGAGAAACGCAGTTGGAAGCCCTCCTGCATGCAGCAGTTTGTTGGGTGTTGCTCCCGTTTCTCACTCTGGAGTCATTAGCATAGAAACTGTGAGGATAACAGTGTGTGAGACTCCTAGTTTGTGAAAGTTTCCGAAGATGGAAGCCAAAAGGAGCGTTGAAAACCAAGAACTGTCCTTTGTATGCACATGAGACGCCGAGAGGCCTGGGGGGTGCAACAGAGCCCACGTGGGTCTGGTGTGTGTTAACTCTGCACCCGGCTCCTGTGCCACTCTTCTTCCAGGACTCTACTCCTGGGAGGTGCGCCAGAGCCCACGTGGGTCTGGTGTGTGTTAACTCTGCACCCGGCTCCTGTGCCACTCTTCTTCCAAGACTCTACTCCTGGGGGGTGCAACAGAGCCCTCGTGGGTCTGGTGTGTGATAACTCTGCACCCGGCTCCTGTGCCACTCTTCTTCCAGGACTCTACTCCTGGGGGGTGCAACAGAGCCCTCGTGGGTCTGGTGTGTGATAACTCTGCACCCGGCTCCTGTGCCACTCTTCTTCCAGGACTCTACTCCTGGGGGGTGCAACAGAGCCCTCGTGGGTCTGGTGTGTGTTAACTCTGCACGGGCAAGGTGAATGCTGTTCCCGAGTGTGTTAATTTCCTTTCTCTGTTCTCAGGCGCTATAGTAGCCCCAGGTAAGACCCGAGGAGGGTCACCGTACAACCAGTTTGACATCATCCCAGGTGACACACTGGGTGGCCATACGGGTCCTGCTGGTGATAGCTGGTTACCTGCCAAATCTCCACCAACAAATAAACTCGGAAGTAAATCCAGCAATGCCAGTTGGCCTCCAGGTATTGTGCAGGAAATGCTTTCTCCAGGGTAGTAATTGCTTCCTAATTACTTGTTTCAGGACTGAACACATTGTTTGTGGCAAGCACTTTAAAAGAAAGGCGTGTGCTGTAAGACACGTACAGTGGGAAAGTAGCAAATCTGCACTGGGGGCCCAGGGGGAAAGAAGGTGTGACATTGTGGCTGGATGTTAGGATCTGTCCCACGCACAAGACGCCTTGTAATGTGGCCTCTTGGGAGGTGTCCGTTGGGTTGATGTGTTTTTCCTTTGCACATCTTGGCCAGTGTCTGATGAAAAACACGGGAAAGATCTCTGATCTCCAGCCCAGATTCTTCTAATCTTGGCCTGGACGGCTGGACAGTTTTTTGAGCACCACAGTACTGAGCCGTTTTCCCCACCTCCAAGCCTGGATTTGCTGGGAGCAGGAAGATCAGGTTGCAGGGCCGGGTTTTGATGAGCTGTGGCATCAAGTTCACTACCACACACTGAGGAGCTCCTAGTAAGAGTACATGTTCAAGCTGATTTTATTTTATTTCTTCTAATGATGGAAATCTGAGACAATAGATCCAGCATTTGGACTTTTCATAGAACCATTTCTTGTATCAAAAAAATGATTTTATGTTTTGAGCCATTTCCTGCCTCTGACATTTGTTCTTCTTTTCTCAGAATTCCAACCAGGAGTGCCATGGAAAGGTATCCAAAACATTGACCCTGAATCTGACCCCTACGTCACCCCAGGAAGTGTGCTGGGGGGCACAGCCACATCTCCCATTGTAGATACTGACCACCAACTGCTGCGGGATAACACCACAGGTAAACGAAGAGTCTCCCGGTGTGCAGGCGGCATCACATTCTCAGAGTGTCAGCTTGTTGCTTGGTTTATGTTTGCTGGTATCTAATACTTTTTTAAAGATTTATTTATTATTTATTTCAAAGAGTTACAGAGAGGCAGAGGCAGCAAGAGAAAGAGAGGACTTCCATCCTCTGGTTCACTCCCCAAATGGCCGCAACGGCCAGAGCCAGGCCAATCCAAAGCCAGGAACCAGGAGCTCCTTCTGGGTCTCCCACGCGGGTGCAGGGGCCCAAGCACCTGGGCCATCTTCTACTGCTCTCCCAGGCCATAGCAGAGAGCTGGGTCAGAAGTGGAGCAGCCGGGACTAGAACAAGCACCCATATGGGATGCCAGCACCGCAGGCGGCAGCTTTACCTGCTATGCCACAGCACCGGCCTCAGTATCTAATAATTTAACCTGAAAATGTTAGAATATTGCTTTTCAAAGTTTTTTTAGACACATTTTTTCTCCTGTTGAAGTTTCAGTAATACTCTGAAAGCTTCACCGGTTATACTGACATGTATCTTGATCGTTCTCTTCTTCTTCTTGTTTCTCGCCCCAGGGTCTAATTCTTCCCTCAACACCTCGCTGCCTTCACCTGGTGCCTGGCCCTACAGTGCCTCTGACAACTCCTTTACCAACGTCCATAGCACTTCAGGTACCGGTGCCACCTGCTTCTCTTTGGTTAGCACTTCCTGTCGGGTTCCCCTTCGTAAAGGACACTGGGGGTGGTTTGTTAAAAGATCCTTTCATGGGAGTTGGATGGCCTAGGTCAGGTAGACGGAAGTACAGCCTCGTACTTGCTGTGTCCTGGGGGCATGTAACAGACACAGCGGCGCTCCAGAAAGTTCGTGGAACAGGAGATGAAAAGGTGAATTTCTTTTGGTGTGATTTTCTTTTTTCTAATTTACACATGAGGAGTCCTCCAAAAGTTCAAGAAAAATTAAATTCATCTTTCCAAAAATATGCAAAGATTTCAAAAACGGTTTTTGCATAAAAATAAATACCCTCTCATTCCATGTTTCACAAACTTGTTGAAGTACCCTTGTACAGCTTCGGGACAGGGCCGATGGTGGTCGTGTCTCAGGGAGCTGGGGGGGTTCATAGGGCAGACGTCACGTACTGTATCCCGGTGACGCCAGTGCTTTCCTGCTCAGCCAGCCTGAAGGGCCTCGGGGGCCCATGTGTCCACGCCTCGCTCCGAGGCAGGCAGTCCCAGCAGTCAGTCACTCCCCTCCAGGATCCCTTCCCCTCGCACCGAGCATAAGGGCACACGGCCGGGGGGAAAAGAAGACCCTGGTGTTTGTCACCGACAAAGGGAATGGAAAGGCTGATGGATGCAACAAAGGCGTGGGAGTCATTCACACAGCACAGTGCCTTGTAGACCTGTAGAAAAATCAAGTAATTGGCACCTTGCTCTTGCAGTAATTAGATCTTAAACCATTAGAGGCATTAAGACTTCTTGGCTTTGTTGAGGCAGAGGCAAAAGAAAGCAAATGCTTAGCTCTGCAGACACTGCAGGCTAGTGATCTTCAGAATGTCCCCTTTTTGCTCACCTATCACCACCAGCAGTGCCACAGTAACCACCACTTACTGATGGCCCCTGCAAAACCTTCAGCATGGGTCCTTTTTTAAATTATTATTAATTAATCAATTTGAAAGAGTGACAGAGACAAAGATATTCCATCCTCTAGTTCATTCCCCAGATGACCACAGTGGCTAGCGCTGTTTCAGGCCAAAGCCAGGTGCTTAATCGGGGTCTCCCATGTGGGAGGCAAGGTCCCAGACACTTGGGCCATCTTCCACCGCTTTTCCCCGGCCATTAGCTGTAGCTGGACTGGAAGTGGAGCAGCCAGGACCCCCACTATGGGATGCTGTCATCGCAGGCAGCAACTTTACCTGCTACGCCATGAGGCTGAGCCCTCAGCTTGGGTTCTTAGTTGACCTGCCACAAAGGCTATGAGTAGGTCCTATTAACCCATTTGTGGAGGAAGAAACTGAGATTCACAGAACTGACGTAATTTGCCTTACTTGGACTTCTTTGCTGTGGGAAGATTGTTTTTCACCCAAGTCTTTTTTTTTTTTTTTTTTTTAAAGATTGATTTATTTATTTAAAAGGCAGACTTGCAGAGGCAGAGGCAGAGAGAGAGGGAGAAAGAGATCTTTCATCCCCTGGTCCACTCCACAAATGGCTACCACAAACAGCCTCAGCTGGGCCTATCTGAAGCCAGGAGCAAGGAGCTTCTTCCAGGTCTCCCACATGGGTGCAGGGGCCTAAGGTCTTGGTCCATCTTCTACTGCTTTCCCAGGCCATAGCAGAGATTGGATCGGAAGTGGAGCAGCCGGGACTCAAACCAGTGCCCGTATGGGGTGCTGGCGCTGCAGGTGTCAGCTTGACCCTCTGTGCCACAGCAGTGGACGCTCAGCCCTTTACTGCTGTACACGCCCGTGTCTCAGGCTGAGTCATGGTCTTTTCCCAGTGGGATGCTGCTCTGACGGGTCCTGCAGACGTGCCGAGATCGTCTGGAGCAGGACGTGTGCTTCCCTCCCCAGTGTGGCTTTTCCTTCCCAAGCATCACTTTTCACAGAAGTCCCAGTCCTCTCCCCTCTCCTGCACCCCGTGGGTCCGAGTGGCAGTGGCGCCCTGGGAGTGGTGTGTCCTGCTGCCCTGTTTCTCAGACCCAGTGCTTGTGGCCCAGTCTGCAAGATTTGTCCTCACCCTACTTTAAATGCCCCTTGCTGTGTCTGCTGCAAGAAACGCCCGAGACCATCTTAGGCCCAGCCTGCCTTCATGGCGTCCTTGTCCTCTGCCCCTCTGAAAGGTTGCTCAGCTGAGATCGGGCGATATACTCTGTAGAAAGAGTTTCTGTTGAACCTTGGTTTACCTGCTTGAGCTTACCCATGTAAGTGAAAAATTCTTCAGGACCTTTCTTTGCAAAGCCGTTGCTGCCAGCTGTGTGTTAAATCTGCATGACGTTGCCAGGGTTACCAGTTCTGTTGCTCATCTCTTCTTTCCTCCCATTTGAAGTTGGGGTTCTTGAATGTAACTGTGTTAGGTAAGGCATCGATTGGTGCCCTGAGCAGAGAAAGCCCTTAGTGAATATTTGCTGTTTTAAAAAAATGTGTTTAAATGTTGATATTTAATATGCTGGATTAAGACATCAGAAAAGTTTAACTCTATAGTGTACTTTCCATGCTGCCAATGAATGTTTAGAACAAAGAATACTCTAGTTCTGTTGGGGTTTGCATTCTCACCACATCTGTGAGTCTGATGGCCTGAAGAATGCTTACTCCTTGATTTGGTTTTCCCTTTCGTGTTGTTTTTAACCTATAGAGCATTAGAGAATCTTGTTAAGTCTGTTGTTCAGGTAGCAGTCTTGTCAGCTGGGAAAACTGTATATACAATAAGCTTAAAAGAAGAATGTGATTTTGTATTTCTTAAACTGGGTACTTACTATCACTAGACTCTACATATGTGCGGAACAGATGTTCACCGGTGGGTAGGAGACTGGTTAAGTCACCCATGTTCCGCATCAGAGTCCCTGGGCACAGCTCCCAGCTCTGCTCCTGACTGCGGCTTCCGCCAAGCTGCGGACTTCGGGAGGCAGCAGTGACGACTCGGGCAGTTGTGCTCCTGCCACCCGCAAGAGAGACCAGGCTTGAGGTCCTGGCTCCTGCCTTCAGCCAGGCCCCAGTCAGTCATCGTGAGCACAAGCAAGTAAAGTTTTAGAAAAAGTTTAAAGAAAAAAGAGAATAGAAAGGTCTATATATTTATGTTTGTGCAGACAAAATTTAAGTGTATTTGTCAACAAACGTGCCCCCATCTAACCTTATTCTTTCTTGAATTTTCTCTTACAGCAAAGTTCCCTGATTACAAATCAACATGGTCCCCAGATCCCATAGGACACAACCCCACTCATCTCTCCAACAAGATGTGGAAAAACCATATTTCCTCCAGGAACACTACACCGCTGCCCCGCCCACCTCCCGGTCTGACTAACCCCAAACCGGCATCTCCCTGGAGCAGCACAGCACCCCGATCAGTCAGGGGGTGGGGGACACAGGACTCACGGCTTGCCTCGGGTGAGGAGGGTCTGCCTAAAGGAGCATCCTTCCTCCACAAGGGGCTTGTGTTCATGCAAATGGTGACGACGTGCCGAGGGCTGCGCACAAGGAAATCATGGTTTTCTGGTAGAGGAAAAAGTATCTCTTGTGGGGAGAATACCAACTGGTGTGAAGCAGAGGGACCCAAGAACTGCCAAGGCACCAGCGGGGTAAAAACGAGGAGTAACAGAGCTGGGCGCTGGGAGGAGAGCAGTATGTTGTCAGACACCAGGAGGGTGCCTAGGGGGGTCAAGGGCCAGGAGGAGTGACAGAGGTCGGAGTCAGGTGCAGAGAGAGAGTTCATAAAGGCGGGAAGACGCGGGCTGCGTGACAGTGCCCCCGTGGCCTTCCTGCATGTCTGGCCGCCTCCTAATCACTTTGTGGTTGCTCACAGCCTCTACCTGGAGTGACGGTGGCTCGGTCCGTCCTAGTTACTGGCTGGTTCTTCACAATCTCACTCCACAGGTAATCGCGCCTTCTCGTGGTTTGCTGGATGGGACTCGATTGCAGTTAGAGGTTAGCAGACCTGAGAGATCCTGTGTGTCCTGGTCTCTGCCGAGGTCCTGCTGCAGGGGGTGGGTCTCCCCTCCCCACCAAGTTCACTGCCCAGCTTCACGCCTGCCTTCCAGGCGATGGTAACACGTATAGTTGGTGAGCAGTGAGAGTGAGGTGGCAACCTGTGATCTCTGTGTAGCAGAGATAACTGTTGGAATCTGAGACCAAGTGGGGAGGGAGGTGTGTTAACCACTCACCAAAACATTGCCTGTTTCTGTCTTAGTTAGCCAACAAGACCTGAGATTCAATATTAACCTTTTTTTTATCTTTTAAAACTAGTCAATCATCCATGTGTACAGTAGAAGGAAGTGGTCAGCCTCATGGCTTACATGCCACTGAATGCTTTTAATTTGCTGTCACCAAAACTCGCCTCTGGGTGGCTTTTCAGTGATAGGTAGCATTTGCACTGACCGCCCTCCCCTTCACCGAGGTTGCTTGGTAAATGACACGTTGGTGGCAGGATTAGGTAGAGCATTTGAATGAGGTTAATGAACCTGTGAAAACTGAGGCCGGTGCCTTTTCTGAACTTGACGGCACGCCCATTAGGACACCCTATTGAAGGGACTCAGTTATGCCCCCTCCCTTTTTGACGTGTGGAATGCATTGTCTCCCATTTAATTCATACATTAATGTACGCTCTCCTGCATCAGTGTTCTTCAGAGTGTCCCCCTGAGATACCGGTAGGTCTCTGGCCTAATTCATTTGAAATATATATGTGGTTAAATAAAACAGGTTTCTTCACTATGAGATTTCTTTGGCTTTCAGTATGCTAATGTATGCATGGGGATTCTCTGTGGGGAGATAACGTCTCCTCCTAAGTAACTGCTCAGTGAACCCTTGAGTGGATAGTGAGTAACAGGGCCTTGTTTTAAAGTACAGTTGATATGTGAATTAATGGTAAAACTGGTATTCTAACAGTACTTTACATTTTGTGGTCTGTGTGGGTGCAGTCTGTTGGAATCTTTACTTAATATATACTAAGTTGATCTTCTGTTTATAAAGATAATTAAAAATGAATCTTAATGAAGAATGGGATGGGAGAGGGAGTAGAAGAGGGGATGGTTTGCAGATGGGAGGGGAAAAAACTGCTATAATCCAAAAGTTGTACTTTCGAAATTTATATTCATTAAATCAAAGTTTTCTAAATAAATAAATACAGTACAGTTGGAAAGGGCCATTTCCTAATACAGTCAGCCTAGGAAAGGTCTGTAGGTGATCTCTGCTTCTAATCAGCTTAACCTGGCAGTTCAGTCCCGAGTCTGCAGTGCCTGCTGCCCTGTGCTGCAGACCCTGGGAAGTAGTGGTGACGGGGTGGTGGCTCATGAAGCCGAGTCCCTGCCACCCACGGGGAGACCTGGATGGAGTTTCCAGCTCTTGGCTTTGGCCCAGCCCTGGCTTCGTCCTTGCAGGCATTTGGAGGGAACACCAGCAGGTGGAAGTAATATTCTCTCTCTCACACAGAGAGACTCTGTGTGTGTGTTAATAGTGACAGTACAAAAAGTCTCATCATCAAAGCTACATATGCCTCACTTTTCCTAAATTTTTTTAAGGTTTTTTTTTTTTTTTTTTGAGAGGCAGAGTTAGAGAGAGAGAGAGATCTTCAATCTGCTGGTTAACTCACCAAATGACTGCAGTGACCTAGGTGGGCCAGGCCAAAGCCACAAGCCAGGAGCTTATTCCGGGTCTCCCACGTGGGTGCAGGGACCCAAGGACTGGGCCATCTTCCACTGCTTTCCCAGGCGCATTAGCAGGAGGCTGGATTGGAAATAGAGCAGCTGGGACTTGAACCAGCATCCATGTGGGGTGCTGGTGCCACAGGCCCTGGCTTTAACTCACTGCACCATAGCTCCCGGCCCTCTAGAAGTTTTTACACAGTGTGAAATGATGACAATATGAGAGGCGCCCACTGTCTGGAAACAGCCTGGGAGGCTGACCAACAGCTCCCTTGCCCTGCCCTGTAGGAATGGGAAGTATGTGTGTCTGTGTTCCTACAGCAGGTATTGGGGTGGCTGTCTCTAAGCATGGATTGATTTGAAAATTCAAAACTACGTAACAATAATCTCAACAATAGTTTAAAAGGTTATAATAGCAGATCTTCAAATTGGGGCTTAAACAAATAGTTTATTTCATTTTATTTGAAAGGCAGAGAGAGAAAGATCTTACTCCTCTGGTTCATTCCCCAAATGCTCCAGTAGCCCGATAGCCAGGGCTGAGTGGCCTGGAACCCCATGAGGGTCTCCACACAGTTGGCAAGGACCCGGGTGCTTGGGCTGTCACCTGCTGCTTCCCAGGGTGCACATGAGGGAGAGTCTGCGTCAGAAGCGAAGGAGCCAGAAGGCAGGCATTGTGGCACAGCACTGCTGACACCCACATCCCACAGTGGAGTGCCTGGTTCAGGTCCATCCAACCCGCTCGCAGTCCGGCTCCCAGCTCTGCACCAGGAAGACAGCAGATGCATACTTGAGTCCCTGCCACCCATATGGAGGCCTCGCCCAGCCTCTGCTGTGTCTCCCTCTGTGTCTCTGTCACGCTGCCTTTCAAGTGAATAAATCTGAAGATTTATTTATTTATTTATTTATTTATTTATTTATTTATTTGAAAGTCAGAGTCACACAGAGAGAAGGAGAGGCAGAGAGAGAGAGATCTTCCGTCTGCTGGTTCACTCCCCAATTGGCCACAACGGCCGGAGCTGCACCGATCCAAAGCCAGGAGCTTCTTCTGAGTCTCTCACGTGGGTGCAGGGGCCCAAGCACTTGGAACGTCCTCCACTGCTTTCCCAGGCCATAGCAGAGAGCTGTAATTGGAACTGGAGCAACCGGGACTCAAACCGGCACCCATATGGGATGCTGGCACTGCAGGCGGCGGCTTTACCCACTATGTCACAGCACCGGGCCCTCAATTAAATAAATCTGTTTTTTTCACTTGTGTTTTTTTTTTTTTTTTTAATGAATGTATTTTTACATAGATACAACTTTAGGAATACAGGGGTTCTTTCTCCCATAGCCCCCACCCAATTAAATTAATCTAAACACACACACAGGAGTGACCCCTCAAACCAGTCACTCTGATAGGGTTGTATGTGTCCCAAGCAGTATCCTAAGTGCTGCACCAAATGCCTAAAACCATAAGTTTTCTTTAAAAAAAAAAAAGTTACTATTTGAAAGGCAGAGCAACAGAAAGAGGAAGAGATAGAAAGAGATTTTCTCCCTGCTGGTTCACTCCCCAGATGGCTACAATAACCTGGTCTGGGCCAAGCTGAAGCCGGGAGCCAGGGACTCCATCCTGGTTTCCTTTGGGGGCCCACACACGAAGGCTCTACCTACTGCCTTCCCAGGCACAGCAGCAGTAAGCAGGATTGGAAACAGCATCCAGGGCTTGAATCAGCTCCAGTATAGGACGTTGGCAGCACTGCAAACGCACCAGCTTACCCACTGTGCCACAGTGGGGGTCCTTATAACTTGACGTTCTAGGTCATCCAAAATTTGTTCAGAGGATGTGTGTCTTGAAAAACCACTTGTGACCGGTGCCACGGCTCAATAGGCTAATCCTCTGCCTGTGGCGCCAGCACCCCAGGTTCTAGTCCCGGTCAGGGCGCCGGATTCTGTCCCTGTTGCTCCTCTTCCAGTCCAGCTCTGCTGTGGCCCGGGAGTGCGGTGGAGGATGGCCCAAGTGCTTGGGCCCTGCACCCACATGGGAGACCAGAAGCACCTGGCTCCTGGCTTCGGATCAGCGTGGTGCACCGGCCACAGTGCGCCTGCTGCAGCGGCCATTGGGGAGTGAACCAACGGAAAAAAGGAAGACCTTTCTCTCTGTCTCTTTCTTTCACTGTCCACTATGCCTGTAAAAAAAAGAAAGAGAGAGAAAGAGAGGAAGAGAGAGAAGCCACTTGTAGGGGCCAGGGCTGTGGCATAGTAGGTTGATCCTCTGCCTGCAGCGATGGCACCCCTTATGGGTACCAGTTCAAGTCCTGGCTGCTTCACTTTTGATCCAGCTCTCTGCTATGGCCTGGGAAAATAGAAGATGACCAAAGCACTTGGTCTCCCGCATGGGAGACCTGGAGGAGAGGAAGGTCCTGGCTTCGGATCTGCTCAGCTCCAGCCGTTGCAGCCATTTGGGGAGTGAACCAGGGGATGGAGGACCTTTCTCTCTGTCTCTCTCACTGTCTGCAACTCTACTTCTCAAACAAACAAATAAAATCTTTTTAAAAAAAAAGAAAGAAAAACAAAAAGCTACTTGTGGCATATACTGACATGCTTACGTAGTAAATTGGCACTTTTTAACCAGGGCTGAGAGCAGTTTCTCTGATCTGTAATGAACACCGGTGACACCGCTGGTTTTCAGCTGCCTACCACTGGTATCTCATGGCATTTTAAGGCAATTCCAACGATAATCTATTTATTTCCAAAGAAATTAACTAAAATGTTGGGCTCAGTGGCTCTGACAAACCATTTAAGATACTGATGCAAAAAAAGTAGAATGAATAGGTTTATTCAGCCAACCCTTAGGGAACTGTCTCCCATCACTGAACAGTGAGTTGGTGAAAATGTTGCCGACTGGCCTGAGGGCAACAGGAGAGACAGGGAGAGGTGTAAATCCACCTTTCCAGGTCGGGAGCAGTGAGGCAGTGTTGGGACAGTCTGAACTCAGTCAGCCGTCAGCATCTAAGTAATCAGACGTTTGTCAGTGCTTCTCTGTCACTTCCTCTGTAGTCCTTTGCGAGACTTAACTGCAGTTAAGGTGCTGAGGACTTTGTATGTTAAAATCTTGTTTGCACACATTTCATCTCCCTTTTCAGGTCCTACAAAGTAACGCGGTCTTACTTGCTTACCTCTTCAAAACAGACCACGAGTTGAACCATATATGCTTTTGTTTTGAACTGTATCTGTACAACTTTTTTTTACACGAAAAACATAGTGTGTCTCAGCTCAGTGATTTGAGTATGTTAAAAATGTGCCTTTCCCGCTCCACCTCCGGCTGGGGTCTCATGCGTGTCATTGCTTCTCAGATTGACGGGTCAACCTTGAGGACGATTTGCATGCAGCACGGTCCACTGCTGACATTCCATCTGAATCTGACCCAGGGCACTGCCCTGATCCGATACAGCACCAAACAGGAGGCGGCCAAGGCCCAGACGGCACTGCACATGTGAGTATCTTGCCCCGCCCCCAGCCAGCCAGACCCAGGGAGGCACCGTGAGCATTCTGGCGCCTGCGTGGCGCAGGGTCTCGGGCAGGCACCAGCACGAGTCGTCGGCGGGCTCTGAGTGCTGGGCTGGCGGGTCTTTCTGTTCTACCTAAATATGTGGACGCTGTCAGTGGTTACCGTGGGCTCACACTCAGAATTCCACACTGTAAGTGATGAGTGACGTACTGAGTAAATGTTAAGTATTGAAAGACAAAGCTGCTATTTTTGAAAATGAACCATGGTAAATTTTGTCATTTTTCATAATAGAATCTCAGTTTATAGGTAATGGTGAATTATTATGGTCTTGAGTGGGTGAGACTGGGTCAGACTTTGGCCACTGTTAGATTGGTGGGCAGGAAAAAGCCGACTCTTGGGCTGCAGATGCGGGACAGAAGCTACACAGGGCACAGGCGAGTGGGGGTGAATCCAGGCAGCGCCTCAGCACTGGAACTTGATGCTTTGGGTGTGGTGTTTCATCTCACTTGGGGAAAAAGAGATGACGCTTTCTGGGGGGACTTGATGTAGAACAATTTCAGGTTCACAGCAGAATTTCCCACACACTCCTCTGCCCCTGCCCTGGCTCCCCTCTAGAGCGGCACAGCTGCCACAAGTGGCACGCACATCGCCGGGGCCACGCTGGCAGAGGCCACATTCCGCAGGTTTGAGCTCACTGTGCAGAACAGATTGCCTCGTAGTTCCGTCCTGCCCACCTGTCTGCCTTCCCCGCTCCCTGCCCGCAAACATCTTTCTCCAGAGCTAAGCCGTCTGCAGTATGTAAGTCTGCAGTGGACTTCGCCCGTGCTGATGCTCTGTTGCTCCGAATCAGTGGACAGGCAGGTTCTCAGCCGCAGAGCCCGGAGCGGGCAGGTCAGGGGACCACATCGTGAAGCGTGGGGGTGGAAAGTGTGTGTGCACCTCAGACCCATCGCGCCTTCCTTCCCTTTCCCAGGTGTGTGTTGGGAAACACTACCATCCTGGCTGAGTTTGCCACCGATGATGAAGTTAGCCGCTTTCTGGCACAAGCTCAGCCCCCTACACCTGCAGCAACCCCGAGCGCACCTGCCGCGGGGTGGCAGTCGCTGGAGACCGGCCAGAACCAGTCAGATCCCGTCGGACCTGCTCTGAATCTTTTCGGTGGGTCCACTGGGCTGGGGCAGTGGAGCAGCAGTGCTGGTGGCAGCAGCGGGGCCGATCTTGCTGGCGCTTCGTTGTGGGGGCCCCCCAACTATTCTTCTAGCTTGTGGGGAGTCCCGACTGTGGAAGATCCCCATAGGATGGGCAGCCCTGCTCCTTTACTACCTGGTGACCTTCTGGGAGGAGGGTCGGATTCAATCTGAACTTAGAACTTTCAACTCTGACCTCGTGACCTTTTTTGGAACAGCAGCAGCACTAACTTGACCTTTTCGTTTTTTTTTTCAACTTGCAATAAATACATTTTTAAAAGGAAAAAAGAAAACGGAGAGAGAAAAAAAAAGGTGGGTCATTGACAGACTGTCTGAGCACATAGTTGCCTCCCTTCTAACTTCAGTTTTTCGTTTGGAAAATGAATCCAAAAAGAGAACATATCACTCTTGAAATACTTGAATCATGAACGCCAACCTAGAAAGACAATGTGAAGCAAGTACACATACCATTTAAATTCAAACACAAAAAATTAAAAAAATTAGTTTCTAGTTTTTCACTTTTTTCATGTTATATGGAAGTTGTTGCTAAGAAACATATATACTGAAAAAAATAGCTTTTTAACTTTGTTTGCACTGGGTGTGTTTCCGTCCTTAGGTCTACCATGTTTGGGAGGGAGGGAAATTCAAAAGAATTGTTGGGGGAGGGGGGAGGGAAGACTTGACGGAGCCTCACTTTAAAAACAAAACAAAAAAAAACACAAAAAACCTAAAAAAAAAGGAAAACATTTGTGATTGGCTGGTTGATAAATACCAGTGTGTTCTGGCACATGTAACTGCCCAGGCATGCTCGTTCTGGTATGTGTGTGCACGTGTGTTCATGTGCATTCGCGTGCATCCTTTCTGTCTCTGTGTGTGTGCCTGTGTCCCGCCCTCCTCCCTCCCCACCCCGATTTCTCAGAAAGCTGCATTGCTGACCGTCTGCGGGCTGGCTGGCCGGCCATCTGCTTTTTATTTTCTTTTCTCTTGAAACTGAGAACACACAAAGCACTGGGAACCACTGCGACTGAAGCCACTCCATGGGGCTGCGTTAAGATGAACAGAGCGCTTTTTAATAACTAAAGCAGAGAGCTCCCTCCCAGTGCAGACGAGCCCGACTGTGCGCTGTCTCTGGCTTTTCTTTTGACCCAGCAGTAGAGCGGAGCACTGCCAAGTCCATGAACCCAGGAGAGCAGGAGGTGCCTCTTTCTGTTCTGCCACCGAGTGGCCACCAGGCACACCTGAGTACCTGTGACGTCCACGCAGGCCATTGTGTTAGTTTGAACGGGAACAGAAGAGAAGAGCGTCTTTAATTATGTGATGTCCCCACAGGAGGGAAAACTATGTTCCCTCTTGGATATGTGGTCAGGTATCAGAAATCCATCCAAAAAATCAGGTGAATGCTGAGTTAAATGGTTGTGTTGGTTCTCTCTTCACTCGATGGAAGCAGAAAACACTAAGTTGTGGACAGCCTCCGGAAAGCTCCCGCAGCTCCTCCCTCTGCTCTGGCTGGGCGGCGCCGGGCGTAGGCGTGGTACAGGCCATTGCTGACAGAGATGTTTACCTAACGAATGTCCTTAAGCCAGTGTGTACTCCACACGTTTCCTTTTGTCTCTCTGTGTATTTCCTGTGTATGTGGTTTTGCTTAGGCAGGTATAACTTAGCAGAGACATTTAAGTATTGCACCTTTTTTTTTTTTTTTGGTTTTGACCTCTTTTTTCCCCTACTTTGTACTGTTGCTTTTATTTTATTTTATTTTTTTTTTTGTATTTAAAGGTTTTGCTTTTGTTTTTGTTTTTTAAGCATCAATGTAGTAGTACTCTGGGCCGAACAGGGGGCATTTAATCCACAGTTACCACCAACATGTATGTACTCACGTTGGAATCCAAATGTATCAGACTGCTCATGGTGAAGAGAGTGACGGCAGACCTGAAGGGGTCCCCCTTGAGACAAAGCCGATGGCTGGCGGGTGGGGGACGCGTGCCGGCGACCTGCGAGCACTCACGCGGACGGCCAGGTCTGCATTCTCCTCTCTGACATCAAGTGCCCACATTCTGTACCAGCAAACACCTGCCCATTCCAGCCCTTGGTGGGAGCAGACCCCCGTCCTCCGTACCTTGCTGCTAGTGAGGACGAGGGAGTTTTCCTTAGCATGTTCAGTGAAGGATACAACAATGCCTAATGTATTTCCGCTTCCGTCTCTGTGTAAGTGGGTGGTTGGGTGCATATAGGAACAGACAAAAAGGCATTATTTGCATGTTAGTGACTTTGCGAGACAAAGAATGGGAAAGTCTGTAGTCCTTGGCTTACTTAACCTGTTGACTACAGACCTAGCCTCACAAGAGATTGACAGGCATAGTTCGAGCGAGCACGTCCATCCAAGTCTGCGTGAGCCTTTTGTGGGTCAGTGGTCAGACTCGAGTCTGCAGCATTGGTTTGGTCCCACGGATGCCTTGTTGAACGCTGAGCGTGCCCTCCTCCTGCTCACCGGTTTCTGTCACCACCACACCTCTTCCACCTCTGCCTCACACCGAAAGTCTCCTTCTGGCCGCACTGGCTGCTCTCCGTGCGTGGTGGCCCCGGGTGAAGCACGGCTTCTGTTCAGACATCTGCAGAAGGCTGCATCTTAGTGTCCCTGGGCCAGGAGCATGCCCTGAGGCTCCCTGGAGCCTGAGGTGACATCCACTGATGCTCTTGGTTCACTGCTGTGTCCTGGCCCCCCCCTCCCCCCGGCCTGTTGGTCCCTTGACCTGCACTATGGGTTAGTTGAGTTCCTTACGATACTACGGTGAATGCCGGGTGCTAGAGCCCCTCTGTTTACAAGACATAATGAGGGATTTGAAATATGTAAAAATAAACACGAGAAGCTAAAATGTTCTTCCATCATAAGCTTAAAGGGAAAAAAACTAAAAACTTAAAAAAAAGACCAAAAAGTGCATATATATATACATATAAATATATATTTTAGATGAAGACTAACTCTGGGAGCATTTAACAGTGTTTTTTTGTTTTTGTTTTTAACATTTATTTTCCTGCTTTAAAATTTGCAAGCATTCTCAGGAATTCTAGGGTAGGAAGCCAGTTTTTTGAAGATGGTTTATTTAACCATATCTTATCCTAGATAGATGGCTGTTTCTTTCCTGTTAATAAACTTTTACAAGTTCCTGAAACTTCAGAAAGTTTAAAAAATTTTTACTTAAAAAAATGTAAAAAGAAAAGTCTCCAAATGTTATTGTCATACTGGGGAATCACACATTTTAAAACACATAGAAAGAAATATTTTTTAAAAATTATCAATTTAGCAGCAACAGGTTAAATTCATTATCTTAAACACGGGAGAAGGATTACACTTTTTAAGAGCTGCATCTTGGACTCATTGCAATTGTGTGCGATTTAGCGGGAGAGTGTTTGGTGCCATAAATGGGAATGCTGTCACCGTGTTCCTTCCCATTTAAGACTGAGCTAAAAACTCCCCAAGTGATTTTTATTTTTCTAAAGAGGCCCTTCTCCCTCTCCCACTGCCCAACCCCAGCAACAAAAGAAAGAAACAACAGCTTAAAAAATCTGTAAAAATAGTACAGTTGGATTGCTGAGAATATGTAAAGAGTTAGGAAATGATAGGTTAATAATTCTTGGAACAAATTTTAAATATAGGCATTACTAGAGGAAAATGATCTATGGACTGTTCCATTAATGAAGAATGTCTGTCTTCCTCCACCTGTTACTGGGGGAGGAGACCATACGGAAGAATCTAATAAGGAACAAGTGGTTTTGCTTTCTTAGCTCCCAGCTACTGTGTGTTCATTGTAATCGCTGTCCTGAGGATCTGCTGCTGAATTCTCCCCATCCCTCAGCCAGAGATGTGGAGTATCTCCTTTCAGTTTTTGGCAACATATTCTATATTCCCCTCCCTGGGGCCAGGGGTCAGAATTCCCGAACATGACCACAGCTTCTTTGAACATTAAGCTTCCCAGTGGGAAAGAAACTCCAGCTCGACAGGTAAGGGAGCGGGTGGGGCTGCTGCCTGCAGTTTCTCTAAAGCCGCTTTAGTGCCTTCGTACATACACCCAGACGTCCTGCACAGGGGTGGGCCAGCCGCTCCGCACGCGCTGAGACGCTTGTCCGTGAAGGAAGGTGGAGTGGTTCTGGACAGGCCCCCAGAGGCAGTGGGCTAACCTTAAAAGAAGCAAACAGAAATCAAGAAAGTTCAGAATGGTTTTATATCTGGACAACGCAGGATGGCACGTCCCTTCCTGGCGTCGTGTGCCCTGCGTACTGTGCGTCGGCTTCCCCGGCGTGTCGTGGAGCGGCCACGGTGACTGGAAAGGCGCTCTCTGTGGGGCCAGCAGGAAGGGGTTCCTGGATTTCTGCTGTTTGCATCCTTGGGCTCCTCACTCTGTCCTTGCCCCCCACCCCCACCCCTTGTCAGCTTGCTGGAAGCTTTGCTTTGTTGGTTGGCAGTGACCTAAGAGCAGGCTATGGGAAGGGTGTTGTGGAAGAGGGAAGCTCCTTTCTGTGGCAGGAGCCTCGTCTGCTGAGAGGTCAGGTGGCTGCAGTGTACTGAAACCCAGTGGGAGGGGTTTTCTGTCCCACCTGGTTCTGGCACAAGTGGAAGGGCTTTGCTGGTCACCCTCATTGCATAGAGTGATTTTATATCAACAGTTTGATCATGTAAGTTTGAGCTTTACAGTTTCGACTAGTTCCTGTTTTTTGTTGAACACTTGATTTCTAGTGGCAGGAGGTGTGTGCATCTCTTAAACATCACATTCTGTCCACCTGATGAGTAAGCCAAAAGACAAGATGCGCTCTCAGGTGAGGTGGTGTCTGCCACCAGACGGGACCTCTGCTATGAGGTACATCCAGTGCCATGAACTCACTTAGGTGTTCAGAAACAAGACACTGTGAAGAAATGGAGGGCCTTGTGACATCCCTGGCCCCTCGGTCCCTGACCCCTGTAGCTCATTTGCAACATTCACAGGAGTTGATTTAGCAAATTCTTTCATTCATCGCTGTCCCTACAGCAAGTCAGCTCAGCTTGGTTTTCTGTTCTGTGACTCCTGTTGTAAGCCTTTTCCCACCTCTTCTGACGTGAATGTAGCACTCGTCAGCAGTCGGTTCTTCCATGCTCCTGTGGGTTGAGTGGTCTGTAAGGCATGCATGGGGACAAAAAAGCAAGAACAGAGAATCCTGCCTCAGCATTTGGAAACGCCTTTATTAATCTATGACAAACTAGAAGTTGGTAGGCTATTAACTTGTTGCAAACACTCAATCTCACCACCTTTGCTGGAGAGGGTGATTGGGTTATAGCCAGATTCCATTTTGACCTCAGATGCTGTGTACTTTTTAATTTTATATGTATATATTCTGCCATTTTGACTTTTCTCTTAACCAGAAGCAAAATGTCCATGTGCAGAGCAAACTGCTGAGACCAAGGCTGTTTGTCTGCCGAGTTCAGCGGGTGTTTTCAGCAAACCCCGGCTGTAACGGACATCTCTAAGATAGGGAACAACTGAGTGTTTCTGTCAAAAAGGTCCCGTTCTTCCTCACCCTCAGAGTGAACATTCAACATGTACAGCTTTGTAGGTTATTCATTTGCATTTCGGTTTCTTCTGTTTTGTAAGTATCTATAATGTCTTCAGCTAGGAGCAGAGACACATTTTTAGCTGGTTACAAAAAAAAATCAGACTTTCTCCTACAGTGTTTTTTGCCAAGTTTTTTCACATTTCATGTCTATGCATTAACTATACTTGGTGTTACTGCAAAAACAAATTGTTGTTCTTTGTGTTTTTCTTCCTGTGGGCATACAACTAGGGCCACATGTGATAGTACAGATGAAGATCTTCTGGCCTGTGTGTGTACAGTAATTTGTCAATCTGAAGACCTCAGCAGTCATTCAGAAATTAGGGTGTCCCAGTCCCTGCTGCACACCACGCCACACCACCGTGCACCCTTTTGCTTCCTTGTCTGCACAGACGCCGTCTGTCCACACAGCCTAAGAACAGATGCACACACAGAGTGCCGGCAAGGTCGCCGTCACTCTGTAAGCAAATGTAGACATTATCTGCATTTCCTGCATTTGCACACGACCCATGAGGCAGCCTGGGCTGTGGCTAGTGCCAAAGGTGGACTCTCAGAGGCAGGCCCCCTTTTGTCAGTGGTAGTGGTTTTTCCTTGACCTTAAATTTGACTGAGGGGGGCTGCTATCACTTTCCTCAGATCTGAAATCAATCTGTGAACATAGTAGAAGCTTCATAATCATTGGGCATCAACCCTCCCTAACCTGCCCATAACACTGCCCCACTCCTGTACCCCATGCTGCCAGGGAGAGACCGTGGCCATCTCCAGGATGGCAAAGGGCAGGCATTGGTCAGGAGCCGGGAGCTGCCCCTGCGTCCTCGCTGTCCACACGTCCAGGTGCGGTCGCCCAGACGGGACTGCAGGCCCTGCCAGCGCCTGCCTCACGGAAGTTACAGTTCCCTTTCCACTTCACCAGACACCTGGATTTGTTTGTACCAAGAAACTGCTCCCCAGGAAAGATGGTACGATCCTGACTGAGGGGTTTCTGAAAAGCTCAGTCATCGGTTCTTCAATGTGCAGACGCTTGTTTAAATAAACAAGAAGCAGTATCTCCCTAAAGCACTTTGTGCCTCAACTTGACTTCCAAGCTGTAAGAGTGCCCCGTTGCAGCGGACCCATTTCTAGCCCAAACCGGAAAGACGGAGTTGCTCCTCCGTGAGCGGCAGCGGAAGCTCAGGCCCCGCGAGGCAGCCTCGGGAACGCACACGCTTTCCTCTCCTGACCGCCGGGCCTGGCCTCGCGCCTCCTCCGGGGCTGCTGAGAGGGTGCGAGGAGGAGGGGACAGTCCCAGTCCCAGTCCCGAAGGAGGAGGGGCGCTGATGAAAACTGAGACCTGTGGAACCCTTCAAGGAGTGACCTGCCTGGTAAATGTAGTCGTGCCGTTCCTCACCGCGCGATGCGTGTAGGCGTACTTCTTGCCAGAAGCGTTGAGATGAGATAGAGAGGCTGTGTTGAGAACACTGCCCTGTCCCCTTCTGTGATGTGGACATGGGGTTAAGTGTAGTATTTCTGAATGTGCCTTGTGAGTCCAGAGAGCGTCTTGTAGGGAGAGACTTGAGATACAACACTCAGCTCAGTCTGGCGGGAGTGGGGTGGGGTGGGGCAGCTGTTGCATTCTCATTAGCATCAGTGTCGCACAGTGCGGACTTGGGTGGAAGGGGGTCCTGGGACGTGGCAGAGCAGAGAGACCCAGGTCCCCTCCGAGCGTGGGATGGACTTGGGCACTGCATTACCTCGTTTCCTCCTGTGCTTGCGCGTGTGCGTGGCTGTCTGTAAGCACCGGAGAAGGGAAGGGGGCGTACCTGTGACAAATCCAAGCGTGGGGAGAAGGCGCTCTTAGCATCTGCAGTGCAGGGCAGGCGGCTCTGGGTGCCCTCTGAGCCGGTGTCCCGGGAAGGCCGGGCCTTCCCTGTTGCTGTCTGTGCACACGGGAGAGAAGGATTCTAGTTAGCTTAGCCGCCTGCGCTGTCCCTTGCTTGTTTTATTCCGTTCTCAACAGTTCCTCCTCTTCTCCCCACTCCTGTCTTCTAAGGAAATTCCCAGCGAATGCAAAGGGCCATTTCTGTAGCTCCTCAGAGCACCCCAAAGAGGAAAACCTCCCTCCCACTTCACCCAGGAAGGTGAAGGGAGGGGGCTGCCTGCCGCTGGCTGTGCCTCACTCAGTCCCCTCTACTGGCCTTGAAATGGATTATTATGCAAATGTGAATTTTGATACTGAATTTAAGAGGTTCTTGGATTTTCTTTTTTCAAAAAAAAGGGGGGGTCCCACATGTGGTCATCATCGCTTCTTTATTTTATAAGGTGAATTGTGACTATGCATCCTGTGAGGGGAGGAGCGGGTGGAGAGGGGAAGGAAGTGGCTTTGCACCCCTGTTCTCCAGTTTCTGTGTCCATGGTAATCCCCATGTCCTGGAGGGGAAGGGAGTGGAAGTGGGTGAGGGGAGGTAGAGAGAGGCCTCTGAGTTCCCCTCTGTGGCTGGCGTAGCGCATTCCCGGGGCCTGTGGTCCCGTCCGCCAGGACAGTACAGGGCTCTTGGTCCCAGCCACGTAGTGTTAGCCCAGTGTGCAGTGGGACCCCAAAGGCTCCGGTGTTCTCTGGGAAAAGTTCTCATCCTTTCCTGACTCCAGACCCTTTCAAGCTCAGGAAACCATGCCTCACCCAGGCTGACCTCCAGGTTCATCCTTACAGCAACTTTGGAAATCCCCCTTCTCTCCTTTTTCATCTTTGCTTTCTCTTTTTGTTTTAAGTCATTTTAAAGTGAACTCACGCTTAATTACTAGGAAACTGTCCTGCTCTGTAGGGGAGAGGGCTGTTGCCCAACAGGCAAACGAGGGTTCTCTTCCCCCGCCAAGACCCCGCCACTGATGGGCTGGCCTGGGAATGTCCCCTTCTTGTTGGTCTTGCCTGTGGTTAATCAGGACACCGGCCTCGCTCTGGCCTCGGCATTGTTGGCAACACAGAGTATCCTAAAGATCTGCGTTCAGTGTTCTCCACACAGCCATTTCCGTTGTTGATGTTCACAGTACTGTAACGAGCGACAGACTTGACACAGTCTCCTCGTGCCGTGCAGGGCTGCACAGGCATGATCTTATCAGGGTTCCAATCTGTTAGATTGCCTTTAAACAAAATAACAAAACATACACAAAAAATCCTGACGTTTCAACTGTCTAACACAAAACAATACCTCGAGGTCCCCCCCACCGCAAACCCCCGACTCCTCACTCCTTCCTGACACTAGTGAGTTACCCTTTTTAAAATACGAACGTGTGTAAATAGCAGGATAACTTTAAAAGCATTTTCTTTGCTGTGAAAGTAACCCCAAATATATGATTTACTCAGTTTTGTTTTAAGCCATCGGAAGTTTCAGATCTCACTCTTTCATGTTTGAGCAGCCCAGCAGAGCAGGTCCGCGGAGTGGGTTTGCGTTTGTGGTGGGGGTGGGGGTGACAGCAGACCAGGACCTGAACCCTGTCCTAAGCAGGTGCCATCCAGTCCCAGGGTGGGGAACGTCTGACTCTCTCTCCAGCAGGCCCTTCCCCTCCAGGGAATCCAGACCTCGTGCTCCCACCATCTCTTGGTTCAGACACAGGACGCGCGCACACCCCTTTCATAACCCTCATCCTGCAGTATGCAGAGGGATTGAGCCCCTGGCATCTCAGTCTGCGCGGTAGGCTTCAAGGCCTTGTTGCTCTGGAAGCGTGCTGAGTCTCCCCGAGGGCTGCCTGCATCCTAGACCTTCCTCCCGCACGCACGAAGCCGAGGGAAATACGGTTAGCAAATGCCAGCCGCTGCTCGCCTAGAATTGGGCACCCACAGAGCAGGGCAGCAATGGGTCATCGGCATCGCTCTTTCTTCACAAACCGCTGCCCCCTTCCCTGTCTCTTCAGACAGACCCCCTAGCATGAAGAAGTCCCTTTCGTTTGATCTCCGCACCTTGTATAGCGACGACTTCCTTTGAGGGAGGGAGCTTGATTGTGAGTGCATGCGGATTGTCCACCCGCCTTCTGACCGGGCCCCTTGGCCTGGGTTTTATTTCTGTTGTTCATCGGAGACCCTTTTTCCATCACATCCTTCGTCTGTCCCCTCATTTCCCTCTGGCGCTCCCAAAGGGCTTTGCTGATCTCTGCACTTCTTTCCTGGGACACCCCCACTACCACCCTTTGCACACACCAGTGACCAAAGTGTACGCAGTGATCTCACAGAAGACATCAAAAATGGTGCATGCACCGTGAATGTGCTCACAGAGACACGTGCACAAGACTCTGCACCCTTGGCCTTAATCTCAGAGTGACTTAAGGTGCAGGAACATTTTTAACAGGTTTTAAAAAAATAAAAATAAATAAAAAGCAACCCTTTTGGAAGGGGAAAAAAAAAAAGAAAGCAGATGCAACAGCTCACCTGTGCCCGCTCCTGGCTTCCCACTGCCCGCTCACCACTTCCGTGCCCGCCCCACCGCATCCTTGCTTTGCGTAACCAAAAAAGAAAAAAAAAAAAAAAAAACACAGACAACAAAAGCGACCTGAGGAAAGGTTTCTGGACTATTTTATCCTCCTCCATTTAGATGGAGAAATAAATGCTGCTTCGAGTTCCATAATCCTAGGGGGCTATGTTTACATAGTAAAACAAATACATCCTACCAAATCAGGAAACAGTGAATATGGGAGTCACTTCAGTGAGAGGTCCCTGCTGGTGACCCAGAGATGGAGCCGACTGGGCGGGGGGACAGAGGAGGAGAGGTAGGGAAGCCCTTCCAGTGACCGGTGACAATGCCCTTCCTCCTCTCCTCCCTTCACGTCTCTCTTGCCCCCTTTAAACAGACGGTGCAGAGAAGGGCATCAAACAGGCTGGATTTTCAAAGGCAGCTTTTCCAACTTTGCACACCAACAGGTCACAGGAAGGCACAGCAAAAACCCTCTCATCTGAGACACTGTCGGCAGAAACAAAACCTGTAAAAATGACTACATAGCTGCACATATTGACGCGCTCTGCGAGTTACCTATAAGTGTTGTGTTTTTCTTATACTTGAAATAGCTTTTACAATATAATTTTGGTGGCTTTCTTTCCTCTCTTGTGACGGGCAATTGAAAAGGCGGATGATGGGAATTGAGTACGCTGGGTGGGGGAGAAGGGAGGGTGGACATGGCATTGTCTCTCTCTCTCTCTCTCTCTCTTTTAACATAGAGGTTTAATCAAACTCGCATGTGTTGAAGCGGCTCCTCATATTAACCGGTTTTACATGGACACAGAAACTAGGCACTTTACAGGTGCACTTGCACGGCAGGCTGGGCCCCCTTTTCTATATTTTATTTTACTTTTTTAGTATAGTGGTACTTAAAATCACTGGTTCACTTAAAAAACAATAAAATGTTAAACTCTACTAATGTACAAATAAGCTGAAAAGTTGCATTTTATGTGTATTTTTTGCCATAGCAGGTACTGTATTTCTCATGCTGGATTTCAAAAAAAAAATCAAAAACAAAAAAAACTAAAGGGTGGTGTTTTATTGGATTGTGACAGGTTGAGTAATAAGGAACTAAGTCGTCGTCATTTCATTAAAGCTGAGAGATGATGTAATGCATATATAAGAGTTTTCTGAAGGGTTTTTTTGGGCTTTTAAACAGCTTATTTTTGTTTTTGTTTAGTTTTTTATTTTATTTTATTTTGGAAAGATATGATTGTATTATGTGCAACTCAGTTGCTTACATTATAACTACAAAATATTTTTGGGTTCCTGGAAAAAAAAAAGAAAAAAGACTAATAAATGTGTTTGGCTGCTAAGCACTTACTGTCGTGGTTTCCTGTCTGAGCTGCTTGTCCGCTGGCTGTTTGTATTTTTCCCCACTCTTCCCTGACTCCCTGACTCCACACGTTCACCCACTCCGCAGCCCAGCCTTTGGATTGGGGCCTCAGCCTCGTCGTCGTGTTGCAGGAGTCGTGGGTCCTGTGCGGGGCTCGCTGCCTGCCCCCAGGGCCACCACCCAGGGGTCCTCCCTCTGCCTGGGGCTGTTGTCTCCTGCAGTCCTGACCTGGAGGGAGCGTGGGGCAGAGGGGAGAGGAGAGAAGATGCACTCCTAGGTTTCCCTGCATCCCGCCGCTGCCGGGGAGCCAGCACCAGGAGCCCACGCCGAGCACCCCTCGAGCCTGCCCTGGGTGCCGCAGCATCACTGAGGAGGTTACAGCGGGCCCGAGGGCCAGGCTTCCCCGACCCACGGTTTCTTACGTACTGCCAGCTGCTGAAATAGAATTCTAGAAATCTGGCCACGAAACACGTCTGGAATGGCAGAGGCGAGGGACGGAGAGAACTAGGCTGAGTCTTTTCGTTAACTGAGAGGCGGTAACACTGATGGGGCTTCCCCTGAGCCCACTGCTGGCCCTGCGTATGCACCCCACCCACGGCACTGGCGAACCCGTGCCAAGAACCCTGCCCGATGGAGAAGTCGCGTGCCAGGCACCTCAGGAAAGCGCCGGATTGCTGAGGAAGACGGTTGTGCAGGTGGGGGCCACGTGCCACCCACCCACCTCCTCCCAGTGGCAGAGCAGCTCTGTGGCCGAGAAGACCCGAGGTGGACGAGGAGAAGCCCCACGGGGGCCCGCCTGGCGCCGCCCTGTGCTCTCCGAGCGCTGCACACTTGGGACCTTCAAAGGGCTGGATTCAGATCGGGATGCTTTCTGAATGCGTAAACCGGATGGCATTGGAGAGCGTAAGGCCCGTGTCAAGGCTTCAGCATCTGACTCCGCCCTCCGTAGCGTCCACACAGAACACCCACCTGTCCCGCTGCCTGGCGCCTCCACCTCTTCCCTGTCCCCCCCCCCACACACACACACACACAGCCACTGCCTCCAGAGCCGCTCGGCTCCAGCACCCCTGTCCTGCAGCCGCCTCCCTCGGCCTTGGTGGCTGTGTGTTGACTCCAGCCGTTCTCTTCTCGTTGACTTTATGGCCCCTGGGCTAACAACGTATGTTTCCACGATGCCGGAGTGACAAGAGCCTCAGTTTGGGAAAAGCCCATTCTCTACCTGCATTCCAAGACGGTCAGCATTGCCAGAGGACGAAATAAGGACTCCTCAGAACCCACTCCGACCCCTCCCCCACGGGACGTCCTGTGCTCCTCTGACCCAGTCGGTCCACCCCTTCCAGTTATTTTCCAACTTCAAGTCTTCACCCTGTCCCTCGCCCACTAACACCCAGAGAAAATGAGAGGTCTCCGATTTCCCCAAATTCAGAGCAGAGGGGGTCTCTCTCCCTTTCTTGGGATGGTTCCCCTTCCAGTGTTTGGCCCCCTTCCCCTCCTGCCCCTGGGCACTTGGGCCTTCCTTGTCCACTCTCTCCCCACGTGTCACCTGCAGTGTTTTGTTTGTTTTAGAGAGGGGGAGAGAGAGCTTCCGTCCACTGGTTCACTCCCCGATGGCTGCAACACCCAGGGCTGCCAGGGCTGGGCCAGACGGATGCCAGGATCCAGGAGCTTCTTCCAGGTCTCCCACATGGGAGCAGGGGCCCAAGGACTTGAGCCATCCTCTGCTGCTTTCCCAGGCCACAGCAGAGAGCTGGATCAGAAGTAGAGCAGTCTGGATTCGAACCATCGCCCATATGGGATGCCCACGGTATGCCCACATCATAGGCGGTGGCCTCACACATGCAGTGTTTTTTTGTTTTTTGTTTTTTGTTTTTTTGCCAGGCAGAGTTAGAGAGAGTCAGAGAGAGAGTTACAGACAGAGAGAGAAAGGTCTTCCTTCTGTTGGCCACTATGACCGGCACTGCGCCAATCCGAAGTCAGGAGCCGGGTACTTCCTCCTGGTTTCCATGCAGGGGCAAAGCACTTGGGCCCTCCTCCACTGCCCTCCCAGGCCACAGCAGAGAGCTGGACTGGAAGAGGAGCAACCGGGACAGAATCTGGCATCCCGACCAGGACTAGAACCCGGGGTGCCGGCACCACAGGCGGAGGATTAGCCTAGTGAGCCACGGCGCCGGCCTGCAGTGTTCTTGACTGTCAGGGTGCCCAGTGGTGAACTCCCCTCGTGGGCTGCGTTCCACCCCGCCTCGCTCCTGTCCCATCTTCCGCTCCAGAAGTTACCCTCCTCTCCGCCCTTCCACCTGGATTCCTGCCACCATGAGCCCACCACAAGACCTCTCAGGTCATTAGCAACCCCTGAGTCCAGTGGCCACAGGTCTGTGGCTGGCCTGTGCTCGCTGTGTCCCTCCCTCACCGCCGGGGTGGCCAGGTCCTCTGGCTTGGCCGTGAGCTGCTGGTTTGACCAGGGCCCAGCCCCAGCCCCCCACTCTGCTGTGTTCTCCATCTCTCCGCCTTCTCTCTTTCTGACTGAACTCTAAATTCTGAAATGCCCTGCGCTCCGTCCTGAAGTTTCTTTGAGTCATGTCGATCTTTTTTTTTTTTTTTTTTTTTGGACAGGCAGAGTTAGAGTTATACAGAAAGGTCTTCCTTTTTCCATTGGTTCACCCCCCAAGTGGCCACTACAGCCGGCGCTGCGCCGATCCGAAGCCAGGAGCTTCCTTCTGGTCTCCCATGCAGGTGCAGGGCCCAAGCACTTGGGCCATCCTCCGCTGCCTTCCCGGGCCACAGCAGAGAGCTGGACTGGAAGAGGAGCGACCGGGGCAGAATCTGGCGACCCGACCGGGACTAGAACCTGGTGTGCCGGCGCTGCAGGCGGAGGATTAGCCTAGTGAGCCGCGGCGCCAGCCATCGATTTCACTTTTAAAATACAACCACAGACCGGCCTCCAGCGCGGGCCTCTGTACTCAGGCACCCAGTTGCCTCGACAGATGCCCCCACTCTCACCAGATCTACTTGTCCAGGGTTTCCCATCTCAGCGGCACCACTGTTCACCTAATTGTTCAAGCTATGGCTTCTGTCAGGCAGTCTGCACATCCGTCCTTGGGGTGTGGACACTAGCAGTCACCTGTCGCCTCCTCACCTCCTCACCGCAGCCTCCCCCACCCCAGCCCCGGCTTCTTGGTCATCTGCCCTCCCCCCTTGACCACTGCACGTTGCTCTCTGCTCCGTGGCCGTTACTTGTTCATGGCACCTCCAGTGGTTTCTCTTTAACGTGTAAAATGCAGATGTCACAGCACTGTCCATAGATGCCACGCACACAGACCTCACTCCAAGTCCCCTGAACTCAGATCTCAGCACTGGTCATAACTACATCAGGGTGGTGCTCTGCACAGGCTGTGGAATACTGTTGTCCTCTGCCGAAAGTGCTCCTTCTGCTGTATTTCATCAAACAGGAGGCTCTCCCCGCTTTTAAAAGTAGCTGCCACCTCCTACTCCCCCAGTCTACTGTGGGGAAGTCTACTTCTTCTCTTGTCCTGCTGTATTTTCTTTTCAGAGCTTCTCTCTTCGAAAATCACTGAGTTTACTTCTTCATTATCCATCTCCCTCACTACAGCGTAAGCACCAAAAACGACAGAATTCTGGGTTGTTCACCAGCTCCAGGTCTGAAGCCCCTAGAGTTTTAAGTAACCTCTGTATACTTGATGACCCCTGAATTTACACCTCCGCCATGCCAGTGAGCTCCAGACCTGCATCAGTAACTGTCTGCTCAGCATTTTGAAGCACTTGGGGGGCCTGACACTGCAAACTCAATAAACCCAGCACAGACTCGGGGCCTCCCACCCACGGTCACTGCATCACCTTGCATCCTGCGGTGAAACCTGGAAACCCAGGATATCCTTGACTGTCCCCTTTCTTCCCCTTAACCTGTCCCTCATCAAACTGGCTTGTTTGTACCTGTTACGCTGTCACCTACCTTTCCTGGTGGCCAGTCTCCTCCCAGCTAAAGCACCTACGCCTCTCGGCCTTACCTGGTCCACTGTAGCAGCCCGGCTGGTTGCCCACTTGGCATTCGCTCCAGTTCTGCCCCTCCCTAATCCATGCTGTACACAATAGCCAGGATGGTAGTCCCCACAGATGCAGTGAAAGCAACCTCCAGCCTAGAGCCCTCAGTAGATTTCCGTTGCTTGGAGTAACATCCAAAATACTCTTTATTTCCAACAGGTTCTCACTGTCTGCCTCCATCTACTCCAAACCCACCTCCCTCTTCTCTCCCCTCAGTCATCTCACTCTGGCCTTGGTGACCCCTGTGCCTACTACAAGGCCTGGCACATGGTCTGCTCTATTATGGAGCAATGATCCTAATGAGTAACAGGATTTTCTATCAACAGACCAGGTTTTAAAACCTGACATAAAAGCCAGGAGGTGCAAAGCAGGGGCCCAAGAGAGATTTAAAAAATCCAAAAGACGTACAACTCCCAGTGTGGAGGTGTTGCTCTAGGTTCCCCACAGCCACATGGAAGTGTCCTGGTGGCTTTCAGAGGTCAAGAACCACGGCTCAGCAGGTAAGCCTTGGGGGGTGTGCGGGTGTCTTCCAAGGAGGGGAAACGTGTTAGACCTTGAGGGGACTCCCCCCACTTCTTTTCCAGGAACGGGAGGATGCAGGGTCATCACTGCAGACCCAGAGCAGCGGGAAGAGGAGGATGGGGAGGGCGTCATCTGGCTTTCGAGGCCTAAGGGAGAAAGGTCAGCCTCCAGATGATTGAGTGTAGGTAAGAATAAAATCTGACTCAAACCCGAAGGTTTGAGATGTGCACTGGGGAATTCTGCTCCCGGTTCTGCCCCTGCCTGCACGTTCTCTGATCCCCCACAAACTCGGTTTCTTTATGCAAGTACAGGTAAGCATACTATGGGCCAGGGCCTTTCGGTTTCTCTGCTAGGTCAGTGAGAATGTGATTTGGAGCTGGAGGGAGGGCAGAGTTGCAGGGCAGTGCTAAGGATAAAGCAGGGAGGGGAGTGGCTGAGAGCAGGAGTTTGAGTGAACTAAGAGTGGGGTTGTCAGCCACACTTCTCGGGAGGAGACCTCACACTCATCAGTGCCGGAGCCAGGGACGACTGGCGAGGAGGAGGCAGAACTGGAAATAGTAAAGACCCTAGGTAAAATGCGAGAAGGACTAGGAGCCTTTCCTGAGGGATAAGGTGGACTCCTGGAGGCAGGACTCCTGTTCCGAGGAGGGGAAGTCGGCGAAGCGCAGCAGAGGCGGGAGGGAAGGCAGTGGTCGCGGCGGCGGGAAGCCAGAACCATAGCCTCACCCGGCTCACCGCGACAGCCCCGAAGCACCCTGCAGGGAGGGGGTGTGCGGGGAGCGACCCCAGCTTCCCAGACCTCTGTTCTCAACTCCCACCCAAAAACGGAACCTGCGGCTGGACCGGCTTCTCGGACAGCCAGGGCCTTCTGGAACTGGCGCTGCAGTTGTTAGAGTCGACTGCCCGAAAAACGTCACCAAGAGACATCTCTTATGCAAACAGCAAGGGGAAGCTTTATTGATTATCCAGCATGCTGGGGCTGTCTGATCATCATGAACAGAGCAGCCCCGAATAACCAAAGGTTAGGGTTTATAAAGGCAAAAACCACAAAACCGGGAAGGGGGGAATACACGGTTGCTATGCACGGTTGCTAAAATCAAAAGAGAGTACATAAAATCAAAAGAGTATATGGTTACTGGGGTCAACATAACCTAAAACCTAATTGAAATTAATATTTATCATAATCTTGACAATACCAGTTACAATATTACAATTAGCAATTAGGACTTGACATTAATGTAAGACACAGACAAATCACATCTTTATTATTAGCCCAGGTAACCCAGGTGCAACCTTTCTACTTTTAAGCTTGAGCAGTCATGCTAGGGGTTTTTGTGCATTGCCAAGGGTGATGTAGTGCACTGCTATTGTCCGACTATTTGAGATCATAGTTTCAGACCAGAGTCTCACAGTGGGGGGTGCTTTCCCAGAATGCAGTCTCAAGTGCTCCAAAATGGAGTCCCTACTGCCAAGGTGCTACTCTGTCTTATTTTTTTACAGCTGTACCAGCAAGGTTTAAACCTGTAAGCTTAAGCTTAACTTTTTACACCTGCACATATACAATTTTAACTCTTCATTCCCCACTCCTTGTTGTGAGGATCTCTAATCTTAGAGATTTGTTTTTGTATCTTTTAATGTGACATATTGTTGTCTTATGACCATGTGTTTAACATTTTTAACTTGTTTCCGCACGAAGGTGATGAGTCTATTTAACACACAAGGTCCTATGGTTACAATTAGGAATAGAACAATTAAGGGTCCTGTTAGGGCTGACAGTAGAGTAGTAAGCCATGGGGACCGGCCGAACCATGGCTCAAACCATCCCTGTTGAGTTTTCCTTTCCCGTTGCCATTTTTCCAGTCATTTTTTGAGTTTGGCCATGGAGTTTTTAACCACCCCGGTTCAGTCAGCATAAAAACAACATTTTTTCTTTAGGGCCACGCATAACCCACCCCCATGAAAATGAGATTTAACCCCCGCCTGTTCTGTAATACTGAAATGCAGATACTGGGCTGCATCTGGGAGATTGTGGAAGATTTGTCAGGCAGAAGGGGCGGGCATCTCCACCTGGCAGGTTATCAGGTAGAAGGGGGCAGGGCAGGATGCAAAGGCCAGGCTGCCCGTGAAACATTGTCAGGATGACTGAGATGTAGATGCATATGCTGGACACATTAGGCCTTTATGTCACACACACATAAGCTCATAACTGACTTTCTGCCTAATATTTTTCCCTCAAGAGGTAATACCCAAAATTCTTCTTTGGGATTATGGATGGAGTTCTGTTTTCTGTAACTTCTTCGAAGCTGGCATGTGGGCGTCGAGGGGGATTTGGGTATTTCCTCTTGCTACCTGTCTTATGGTGTGCAACAGTGGCCTTGGAAAGACTGTACTGCTCGGTCCAGAGGGCTGCTCAGGTAGTCCAGTGGAATGGGCTGGAAGTCTTGCCTGATGACCATTTGGAGTTAGCAGCTTTTAGTCTGTTAGAGACAAAACAAATAAGGGCATTAAAAACACACGGTGTAAAGAGAAGCATCTATAGTCTCAGTACAGGAGTGGAGGGGACCACTTTCCCCTGGAACTGGCAGGGAGGGCTTTTTAAGTTTAATACTATTGGATAGGCTTTTAAGGCCTGGCAGGGTGTGTGAGGCCCAGACCTATCCATGGGGTGCTGTTAAGAAAATTGTTAAGAGATGCAAATCTCCTTTAAGGGAGGCACCCTGTTGACTCGCATTACATGGCTGGACTAGGAGAGTTAAATAGGAGGCTGATAGAAATAGGCAACTTACATTTTACTGACCCTAAGCCATCCCCAGTAGCAGTGGCTGGAGCTGGAAGCTGGGCAGAGGCTGGGCAGAGCCAAAGGCTTTTTAGCTCGGGGCCACAGGGTCTGTAGTTCTGAACCAGGAGTCCTTCGACACCCAGGGCAGTTCCGTGTCCAGTGGCCGTGCTCTTGGCAAGGCTAACAGAAGGCATTTGCTGTCACGACAGCTGCTTGCCCAGTGCCCTGGCTCCTCATATTAGCAACAGGTGCCATTTGGGGTGCACTGGCCTTGCTGGGTCTCCTTGATGGCAATCACCGTGTAAAGCAGCCATTGATTGGTCTGTTGCCTATCCTTGCTAGCTTGCTCCTCATTTTTCTGGTCTCTAATAAAGTAGACAAGGAGGCAGCCTCTATGATGTCAGTCAAGGGGGTGCTCAACCCATCCCTGATTTTTGGAGATTTTTTTTAAATATCAGGGTGAGCTAGAAAAATTATGGTCATGGGCAAATTCTGACACTTAGTATTTTCCTGCGAGTTAAGACTGTGCCCATGAGGAGAACTATGACCCTTTAGGTAAGATCAACTGTGGTGACCTGCTTGCATACTTTGAGGTCCTCAGTTTAACTTTTTATCTATTTTTTAGTTTGGTTTAAAAGGGGAGTTCTGCCCATTTAACGCGTACACTGAAAAATTGATCTAGTAGTTTAACCCCCCCCCCTTTTTTTTTTATGTTGTTTGGGGCCCTATACTATGGCCAGGCATTATTACAGAAAAGGTCAGTCATCCCTTAAATAAGGTCTGGGGATCAAACCGTACGTCACAGTGGAGAGTCCTGCAGAACAGTAGTAACTTCCCTTCTGGAAGAGAAAAGAGGAGAAGTGAGGCAGCAAGTTGGGTCTCTAGCCTGACTTTCTGGGCTTTTAGATTTAACTGGCAGTTTAACCAGTGTATACTGTGTAGCCTGACTTAGAGGAGAAATTGTGGCAGAGGTCTCTGCCATCCTTTGGCTTCCGGGTATTTACCGTGTAGCCTGTAGACACGAGAGCTTTCTTGGGTTTCTGGAACCCAGTTTTCTAGCATCTGCCACATAACCATAACTTAACAGAGACAGTAGAGTACACAATGGATTAACATGAATTTTATGTCTCTTGTTGTCGAATAAACCAGAAATAATAAAAAAAACCTGTATATAAGAGTTTACATAATTTAGGATTATTTAACAGAGTCAAAAAAAAAGAGCTTACAGGACCTAACTCTAGAAATGGCAGAGTAACCGAATAAGCAGACACTGTTAAAACAGACGTTACAGTTTTTGCAGAAACAGATTTTAAGATTTATGATTTAGACCATTTTTAGATATTTACTAACATTAGTACACTTTTTTTTTTTTTTTTAAACCCCATTGTTATAACAGAAGATTAGACTTTAACTTTAGGTCAGTGTAATTTTGGCATTAGCACTTAACTCTGTAAACAATATTTTAAAATTGTAAACATTTTAAAACTTTTTATGACTTGTTTACACCTTTTGAAACTTTATACTTATAGTTATTTTTACATAGTCTTGAATTGTCATGTATGGCCAACCTATGAGAATACATGTTAACAAACTCAAACAGTTTTTTTTTTAATTGAATTTGAGATGTTAAAAGTATATATAATATATTTTTCCAAGTTTTACTTAGCACTGATGCCTAGATGACTTAAGACACTGAGTTATTAATGAATACCACACCATTATCTGAAATAAAAGTTAAAATTACATTTTTATGTTTTTAAGTAACATGAGGATAACACCTCCTGGACAGCAAACATTAGTGCATGTTTACAACTTTGAAAAGATCTTCCTCATTAAGAGAAACAAGTTTAAAGCATATCAAAGACATGTAAAACTGAGCAAGCCAGCCACTGAGCAAACTTAAGGGCGTTTGCATTACCTCAATTTTTTGAACCAATCTGCATTGGCTTTCTTTAGTTAACAACATAAAGGCTTGTATACACAGAATTTACTCTTATTTTTATAAGACCGCTTTAGCTGGAAAGCAAAAACATAAATACAGCATAGGTCTGACACTATTTATAATATTTTAATATATTTTATATAATTTGAATTGACCCAAGCAGCTGTTACTTTAACAAATTTAGAGTCTCATTCTTTGAGAGTTCCAGGGATCCGACTGGAAGCCCAAAGTTGGAAGACTCGGTTTAGAATTTAAGCTGTCAGAGAGTCAAACCATTTAGCCAAAATTAGTACATTTCTGATCAGTTGGGTAATTACTTAGACATTAAAAACAGATAAACAATGTAAACAAACTTCGCGCTGTAGTTTTTCCAATCAAGACTCATAATGGCAATAGAAAAACGCGAAACCTTCAAGACAGGTGAACGCTCTCAGATGAGTCAGGGACAGCAGCACAGAAAAGAGCTGATTATCAGCATATGAACCCATTGTTTAGGTTTTTATTAGCTGCAAAGAGAATAACCCATCAGCTTGGAAAGGGTTAATGGCTTAAGGTTCTGGCTCCCTTAGGTAAGGTCAGCAGTGGTATTGAATTGGAAATTCCTCCAGGAGAGGAAAAAGAAGCAGCCCTGGGGTGGGGGCTCTGCCTAGAGATATTTGGAGTGCAGAGAAAGGCTGTGGTCCCCCATTTACAGGGAAGACTGCACACACCGGGGCCTGGCAGGACTAGCCGTGGGGTGTTGGGAACCTTCTATAATTTAACCAAAGCCAGATTAATTAGGACTACTGCAGACACTCAATTACAACAGATAGTTAACTTTAGCTCTTTTCCAGATTTAGTCCTCAGGCAATCAAAGCTTAGCAACAGTAATAGTTTACAAAAAACTTTTAAGACGCACCAGAGCTACCATAAGCTGCAAAGACGGAAAACTTTTTACCCGGTTGGAAAGGGTTAACAGGTAACAGGTAACAGCTTTTCCCCAGGTGGAGAGACCTGTGGAATTTCCCTCTCCCTTTCTCCTCGCCAGTGGTATAGGAATGGAGATGAGGAGAGCAAAAGAGTGGGGGAGGGAGCCCCCGGGAGGAGGAGGAAGGCAGAAAGCAATGAAGCTCCTCATGTCTGGGGGCTGAGTGGGGTTTGAAATCTCCTATCACTCAAGGTTACCCACTACCTAGTTGTCTGAGTTTACCTGGAGGGCCAATATTAGCCTCGACCGAAGCTAAGCCCTGCTCGCGTAGCAGTAGGCAGCGTGACCAGGCGTCCCTCCGAGAGAGAGACCTGGTCCTCGGGTCGCAGTCCGGCCGCCGGGAAGCCAAAGCGAGCTCAGGGGGTCTCCAGGCTCTCAGCCAACTGCCCTTCCTAATTTCCCTCCCGTTCCTTACAATCCCTCTGGAGTTTCGGCCGTAGCTAAGCCGTGGCCGGGGGGACTCCGCGTTCTCGGAGAGCTGTGGGGTGCCGGACACTCAACGGTCACTCCCACAGATCCGGTCCCGCTTGAGGGAAGGAATACTGACCTCCGATGTTTTCTCAAAATCCCGGTCTGGGTGCCCATGACGGCCAGGCAGGAGAACGGCCTCTTTCACTTGGCGAATGAGTGGTAAATGGAGAGCCCTCCGGGGGGCCATTCAGAGGCACAGAAAGACTGCCACTTTACCTTCTTGACTGACAAAGAAAGGTTATGTGCCCGGTCGCTTACCTCCGACCAATGATTCAAAGTTAGAGACAAAGGTGTAGACACAGTCTGGCCCATGTTAGCAGACAACACAATGTACACGAACAGACAAACAGTGTAGAGAATCAGCACACAACAACCACACAAAGTGTCCGTAGAGGAACTGAGATAAACTACTGGTCACGACGATGCTGGCAATACAAACACAGACTCTGGAACCGCCTCAGAGCCCTGTGAGGACGCCGGTAATACAAATGCAAGCTCCGGAACCACTTCAGAACCTACAAATGCAGACTCCAGAACCACTTCAGAGTCACGCGACAATGCTGGCAATACAAATGCAGATTCCAAATCTACCAAACGGGAGCCATCACAGCGCCCCATACAATGCTAAATGACAAGAGAATACAATCAACAAACAACAAGACAACCAACAAAGCACCTTACAACTACAAAAGACTAATAATAAGAAGGCCTTACCGGCCACCCCGTCTGTGCTGGGAATGCAGACTCCACGCCTGCCCCGTCGGAAGTATCTGGGCGTCCCCAGCCTTCCTTTGTCCTCCTGAGGCGTCCCTCAGGGCCGTAGCCTGTGGCCCCCGGGCACGTCTGCCGGCCACAGCCAGGAAGGGCTCACGCCCTGTCCCAGCAGCTACTACACCAGCACAGTTCCCAAAACCCTAGAGCGCTCACAAACTACCAAAATCCAGAATGAAGAGACACAAACCACAAATAAGCCGGCCGACAACACAAATAGGCGCCTGCACTTACCCCGAGAGATATCTGTTGGAGACGTCCGCAGGCAGCAGTCAGATCTCGCTGGGGCCTCCAAATGTTAGAGTCGACTGCCCGAAAAACGTCACCAAGAGACATCTCTTATGCAAACAGCAAGGGGAAGCTTTATTGATTATCCAGCATGCTGGGGCTGTCTGATCATACATGAACAGAGCAGCCCCGAATAACCAAAGGTTAGGGTTTATAAAGGCAAAAACCACAAAACCGGGAAGGGGGGAATACACGGTTGCTATGCACGGTTGCTATACACAGTTGCTAAAATCAAAAGAGAGTACATAAAATCAAAAGAGTATATGGTTACTGGGGTCAACATAACCTAAAACCTAATTGAAATTAATATTTATCATAATCTTGACAATACCAGTTACAATATTACAATCAGCAATTAGGACTTGACATTAATGTAAGACACAGACAAATCACATCTTTATTATTAGCCCAGGTAACCCAGGTGCAACCTTTCTACTTTTAAGCTTGAGCAGTCATGCTAGGGGGTTTTTGTGCATTGCCAAGGGTGATGTAGTGCACTGCTATTGTCCGACTATTTGAGATCATAGTTTCAGACCAGAGTCTCACAGTGGGGGGTGCTTTCCCAGAATGCAGTCTCAAGTGCTCCAAAATGGAGTCCCTACTGCCAAGGTGCTACTCTGTCTTATTTTTTTACAGCTGTACCAGCAAGGTTTAAACCTGTAAGCTTAAGCTTAACTTTTTACACCTGCACATATACAATTTTAACTCTTCAGTTTCACTTCCCATGAACATAATTCAAGTCTGATGAAGCAATTCAGATAGCATGTCACACTCTGCAAAAAGATTTTACAAGTTCTTCCCAATGGCTCATTAAAGGAATCCTGCCCATTCAGGAAGCCCTTTTGTGTGGTCCCTGCAAAGAGTTCGCGGAGAAAAAGGCAACCTGAGCACGCTTAAAACGCTTCAGGTGGGGCCAGAACCCTTCAGCCACGGCTTCCGTCAACCTGAAAGAAAACCGCATCAATATTTTGAATTGGCGCTGGCGTTAAGCGGGAAGTTTGTGATGGCGTAAACTCTTTGGAACTGAAGGGTTTATTTAGGCCATTTTGATTCTCAGAAGGGCCTTGAGACATCTGCTCAACTTTAAATCCAGAAGTAAATATAAACAGGCATTTCCATTTCCATGTGAAAGTGTGTTTATTGAGACACTTGTCTAACACCATAGACTTTAATTACTTAAGCGCAGTGGTCTGTACCCGTCCTGTCAGCGCCTGGAAAGGAAGGAGTTGCCTGCCTTTGTGTTCTCTTCTCATCTGAGCAGGAAGACACGCAGAACGGAGGCTGCTTTGAGCACTGGACTGTGTCCTCCGGAGCGCTGCCTGTGCGTCCTCACTGGGTCACGAAGGCCGCTCAGAAGCCAGGGGAATTTTTTTGTTTTAAGATTTGTTTATTTGAAAGGCAGAGTTACAGAGAGAGAGAGAGAGAGAGAGAGAGAGAGAGAGAGAGGCAGAGAGCGATCAGTCGTCCATCTTCCATCTGCTGGTTAAAGCCAGGAGCCTGCAACTCCATTTGGGCCCCTCACGTGGATGGCCGGGACCCAAGCGCTTGGGCCGTCTTCCACTGCTTTCCCAGGTGCGTTAGCAGGAGGCTGCATCGGAAGTGGACTTGGACCGCCACCCACATAGCATGCCAGAGTCTCCAGAGGCGCTTCACCCGCTGGGCCGATCTGAACTAGGAGCCTAGAACTTCCTCCAGCTCTCCCACGTGGGTGCAGGGGCCCAAGGACCCGGGCCATCCTCCGCTGCTTTCCCAGGCCATAGCAGAGAGCTGGTCTGGAAGTGGAACACCCGGGATTTGAAACGGTGCTCATATGGATGCTGGCACTGCAGGTGGCAGCTTTACCCTCTATGCCACAGTGCCGGCCCTTAATTAAAAATCTTGGGAGAGAGAGAGAAAGAGAGGGAGGGAGAGAAGGAGGGAGGGAGGGAGGGAGGGAGGGAGAGAGGAGACAATAGGATTTGTGGCTGGCAGCAGGCAGAGTAATTCACAATAACAGGTTGCACCAAGTGGGCTTTGGGAGGGGGCAGCCATGTAATTGCCATCCCAGCCAGGATACCTGTGAGAATGAAAGGGGGCACTAGGCAGAAGGGGTGCTGGGACAGTGGCAGGAAACTGGCACTGTCCTGGGTAAGTGGGGGCACTGGCGTCCCAGGGTAGGGAGCAGTGCCAAGAGCTGCATGTTTGTATGAGCGCACCTTGTCTTCGGGGGGCCCTGGCCCTTGCGGGTGTGGGGGAGTGCTTCCAAGCCCCCTGCCCCACCTGGGGGTTACCGCACTCCCTGCAGGCACCACATGCCCATTCCTGCCCAGGATCGCAGCCCTTCTGCTCTGCCAGCCTGGACGCTCCCTGTACACTGGGCTGGGATTTCTCCGAATGCCTGCAGTTAGTCTGGGTTAGGCATCTGCCTTTGTAGCCACCTCCACCGCATCCTGCCGAGGAGCTTTTACTCTGGGTTGTAAGATGTCGGTGGTGAAGACCCGTGGCTTCGACTGCTCTGTGTTTAACTCACTGCCCGGCATCTGGGGAGGAGGCAGCTCCTCAGCTCCCCGCAGCCACACCGAGGAGCCTTCTCCTCCACTGAGGTTGATGGTCTCTGTCGCTGCACCATGCCCTGTGTCTCTTAGACACACCTTGACAGACAGCGCTTAGAACATCGTGAACTGAATACCATCTAGAGAAGGACGGTGACTCAAGCGTCCACCCTTGGATTTACTACTTTATTTTTAAATAGTCTTGCCATATGAGATAATCAGTCCCTCAACGAGGTATATATTCCATCT